CTATATCGGGCGCTCAACTTAGAGCCACCCAACTTGAAGAAGATGAAGCAGATGGCCCAGCAGAGAGCCCATCCAGATGGCCGGATTCTTCATGCCAAGCCGAGCGCTTTCCGCAAAGATATGCCTGTCGGAAAGGAAGAGCAAGGCCCAAAGAAATCGGCCGAAGCTGAAGCCCTGATTCATTGACCAAGTGAGACCATGTACCTGTTACTGGTAACCAAAGGAACCGCCCCTTAAGAAAAAGGACACTTGTTGGTTGCGGCGAAAAGGATTCCTGGGATCCGGGTAATGCAGGTGGCTCGGCCTTGAGTCAGTGGGTGTTGGTCCTTCGGAGTTTTTTGGGCAAGCGGCAAAAAGCCGATCCCGCCTTTGGCCAGCGTCCTGGCCGACACGAAGGCGAAGACTAGCTGGCGGGCCGCATGAGTCACTTGAGCCTCGGATCCATGTGGGGCTGGTAGGGTCCTGCGAGGTCAAGCCTTCAAAATGTCTCACAAAAAAGAGGCGCCGCGAAAAAGATCCAAATTGGCTGTGGGTCAAAAATGGGTCGCCAACATGGAACCCTGGTAAATGGAACCAACGACCAAAACCTGCAGTCCCGTGGTGGTTTGATTTTGACCCATACCCAATTCACAACCCGGTTTGTTGTGGATCCATTCGCTTTTTCAACCCCGGCGGTTGTTTGGACCCAATCACCCAAGTGGTGCTGGATTTTGCCCGTAGCAAGTCAAGCGGGTTGGGGTTGGAAAAGCAGGGTCCCCATGGCTTGCCGCTGACAAGGCTTGCCACCTGGCATGGTCATGTCCTTCCGGGCCTTTGCTGAAATTTCCGATCCTCGGAAATGGCAGAACACTTTGCCCAAGTCGCCACGACTTGTGGAGTTCTCCGCAATGGTCGCGCCTTGGCCTGACACACTCGCCTAATCCTGGACTGGAGTCTAGGCAGCCAGTGGCAAAGAGCCGTCAAGCGCCTGAAGGCCAGACCGCGCTGGCAGTGTCGAGGTGCGGTCAAAATCTCCAGATTCATGCTCTGTTTTTTAGGGCGAGCATGGCGAGCTCATTTTTTCTTCACCACCAAAACCTGGGACAGAACCTTGAAGTTCTTACAAACACGACTCGCTAAGCCGAAACCAGGACGAGCCAGATTTGTGTCCGTGCCCTGGGTAACCAACCATCGTGATTTTGACCGTCGAACCAGTTTGGCCCATGCTCGATTTTTTGTGCTACTAGTATCGGTTTGCTGGGGACCCATTCGTCTTTTTCGACCCCGGCGGTTGTTTGGGCCCAATCAGCAACCATACCGAGTCAAACAGCAGGCTTGTGGGGGGTTGGAAAAGCAGGGTCCCCATGGCTTCCCGGCTTTCCGCGGCTTGATGGTGGCATGGTCATGTCCTTCCGCGGCTGCAGTAGTCGGATACATGTTGAGTCCAGGCGAGTTAGGGCGTCGAGCAGCCCAAAGCCGCTTCCTCTTGGCCATTTGTGCCATGGTCAAGAAATCGATGCAAAGGTTTCTATGGACAATGAGCATGCCCCTTTATACAATGTTATGACCTTGTTGGTAGAAGTGAACGTCAAGAGGTGGTTGAGCGCTGCTCTCTCTCATATCGGAGACATCCTACTTGCACGCTGTCCATTTCTGAGGGGCGCCTCCTCATTCTTTCCAATCCCTTTCTCCAGAAAGCCAACGACGGGCAAAATGGATGGATTGTGAAAATGGCACCCCTCGAACATTTGCGCCAGAACGCCTTGCGCAGTTTGCCCAAGTCGGCAACGACTTGTGCAGATATCCCCATTGCCAGACTCGACCTTTTTAACTTTTTGCCTTGGGTTTTTCCGCCATTTTTTTTCCTTTCACCCAGCAACATGTTTATGAAACTTTTTGGGCCGGATGAGTCTCAAGAGTGAGCCTCACTCGCCTAAAGCGAAGGCCTGGTCTGTCAGTGGATTGGCAGAAAAGATTGCCTTCCAGCGCGCCCATGGCGTGGCGTTTCTCTTAGTCAGGGAGCCCAGACTTTTAAAGCAATCGGCTCGGGCAAAGTCGTGAAGTTTCTGAGGCACCTTGTGACAGAACTTCTTTTTTTTTCTCCCACAAACCCGTGACTAGCGGGATGTGTGGGGCCGACGGGACAAAACAATCCAAGAGGTAGAGAGTCAAACTATAATGGTTTGGGGTCTTATATTCGGGGTAGACCAAATATGAAGCATCATATAATAAGACGGGGGTCTTTTTTTGAGGGCGCCCTTTTTTGGTGGTTTTAAAGGGAAACCACAGTCTTTTCTGTGTTTGGGTGTGGGGTCCTTCCATGTTTGCCAAAGTGGGCAGACGCGTGCCGTCCGGCGACTCAGGCTGTCTAAGGAATTGGTTGACACGAATGTGAGATAGATGCCATGGACTCTACGATCATTTGACCCGTTGAAAGCGAGGCGACATCCTGATTGCACGCTGAAAATTTCCGAGGGGCGCCTCCTCATTCTTTCCAATCCCTTTCTCCAGAAAGCCAATGACGGGCAAAAAGGCTGGATCTGGAAAATGGCTCAAAAGAATGTGAAGCCACCCCCTCGGAAATCTGTGCCAGAAGACTTTCCGGAGTTTGCCTAAGTCGGCAACGACTTGTGCAGATCTCGTGAACCACTGGCAAGAAAGAAGCCAGTGAAAAGTGGGATGCCTGCCGGTGAACACTAAAAGGGAACCTGAATGGTTGTCAAAATTCGGGGCCCTTTCTTATTTGGTTGTTCAGGGCTCCTTGAAAGATACATTTTGCCCATTGAACAAGATGCTTGTTCAACACCAAAACAAGGGGAAACCACCATTGACAAGTTGCAATGTTCAGGTGAGCCACAGTCAAAACCCGGTTAGTAAGGGGCAGTCCCAGCCGGAAATAGTTGCGGCCGCCTTCTTAATCCTGTACATGGTTCTGGGTTCACCATTTTTGTACCAGGTTTGATTATGACTCAGGTGTAAATGTAAGGATCCCTGTTGTTCAAAAGTGGCTTGCCTGCTCGCGGCGCGGGCAAGAGCCCTGGACCCCCAAGAAAAGGCAATCTGAGAAGCTGAAGAGCGGGGTCTTTTTTCCTGCGCTTTTTGGACGCTGGATTTCCCCCTTCTTCTTTTTTTTGGGGTGGCAGAAAGGCTCAGGCCGTACATGGGTATGTGTTTTTTTTGGGAGTTGCGAAGCTTTTGGGATTGTTTCATCGCCCTTGTAAACCGAAAGCGCCTCTTAACTTGGAGTACCCTTTGTTTCGCTCTGCATTTCCGCTTCGTTTTGTTCCTTCTTTCTTTTTGCTTTTTTCGTGGCAAAGCTCAACCCGTCCTTGCCTATGTTAAATCAAGGGAGGGGAAAACACCTAGCGAAGCAACCTTGCGCTTTGCGGCGAGGTTTGCTTTTGGTGCTCCTTTTGGTTGTCCTTTAAAACCACTTCAAAAAGGGTGGTACCCACTCCAAAAAGGTCACGGGGTGTTAAAAATCCTGGAGGCAAAAGCTTTGTCACACGTATTTCCCCTGCTTTTTCACCAGACGGTTTCCTCCAAAAAGGACCGCTCCGTGCCTGAGGTTTGCGTTCCACTGGTTCTTCGTGCAAGAGGCGATGAACGGGGAGGTCTTCGACGGGATCAAGCTCTCGCTGCGGCCTGGCGGGCCTGGCGTCAGAGAGTTCTGAGCGCCCACAACTCACATTGACCAGCGAAAGTGGGTGGTTCTTGAGGACGAGAGGGCGTATATGAACTTTTATAACCATACTGCTGTGTTGGTACCAAAGGCAAATAGGTGTTGGTCGCCTCTATGGTTAGGGAGGGCCTCTATTTCTAGGGGGTTATTTTCCTGTTCCATTCTTTTCAGCCATCCTTCTTTTCAAGAACCGGATCGCTGTTTCCCCAGGGTTTCAAAGGGGGTTTTCTAGAAAGAAGGATCCCTGGAAAGAATGGGGGAAGGTACCCTTCGAATATTTTCTTAAGGACGAGAGGGCCTAATGTTGACCCCCCTATTCATCAACCCCTGTTTATGAACATATGGGGGTGTTCCCTTCCAAAAGTGATAAATCCCCACTGAAACCAGGGACACCCCCATATTAATATACAGGGGTTGATTAATAGGGGGGTTCCGTTATATTAACCTTTATAACCATGTTGGTACCAAAGGCAAATAGGTTTTGGTCGCCTCTCAAGTGGTTAGGGAGTTTAGCCAACCGCTAGAATCAATCGCAGGGTTCTATGATTCTTCTGGGGCAGCTTCTTGCTGCTTTCGTTGGTCAGCTTTCCGGCTTCCTGAAGCACTTTAGGCGTTTTGTGTTTTTCCATTCTGGCTCCTTCTGTCTTTTTTGGTGGGGGGTGGGGAGGGGAGCAGAGAAGGGACAGGAATCTGGTTGCCACTTTGGTGGTCTACCAGGCGCGGTTTTTCTCGCCGCTTCTCGGGTCTCCGGGGGTGGGGGTTCCATCTTCCTTTTCTCGGGTGCCCAGCGACCCCACCAAGGAACATGGAACCTGACGTTTTGGGGGGTCCTTTTTTTTTTCCGACCATCTTCCTTTGGACGGGGGGGCCCCCCTGTTTTGTTCCATCTTACTTTTGACGGGGACCGGGTCCCCGTCAGGTTCCATGTTAATTGGTGGGAGTGCAGTTGGTGAAGAGTTGGTGGGACTGGGGGCTTGATGAACCTCTTCGTTGAAGAGGATTTGTTTTTGGCAGCCGCTCCAAGACCGGCTCGGCTCCAAAGGAACCGCAAAAACCCCGTGAAGCTGCGGGCCGAGTGGAAGTTTTTTTTGGTGCATTGTGCTTGGATGTTAGGACTTCAACTTTTTGCCAACTAGGGGGTTTTCCGTATTACACCACTAAAAGTGAAACTTTTAGCAGGGGAGCAGAAAGCAACCGAGGTTTCGGAAGCTTCCATTTGCTCAAGAGTATGTTATTTTTATGTTTCCCTCTTGGTTTTAAAGGGAGTCTATCATTTTTTTCCCAGGCGGCTGAAGCAAATGGCAGGAAGTTGCCTGAGGTTCTTGGCGTTTCTGGTGCTGGTCTTCGCGACGGGGAACATCGTGGTGGCCGGGATCTCTGTGAGTTGCATCGTGGCCATCGCTCCTCGGACGTTTTTGCGAGGGGTGGGTGGCGTGGGTGGGGTGGGTGGGGTTGGGGGGGGGGTGGGTGGGTTGGCTCCCAGCCATCCGGTTCCTCAGCTTTTTAGCTTTGTAGTGTTTGGGGGGGAAACACTGAAAGTTAAACTTTGAGCGGGGGATCTGAGCACAGCCCAGAGGGGCAGTTGTTTTTTTCCATGCGAAGAGGGGTGGGGAGTGGGGTTGGGGCCAAAAAAGACGCGGTTCCGAAAAAAGGGGGGGCGAGCGTAGTGTGTGAAGGTTCTTTCTTTGGATTCCCAGGGAAGGATGGGAATCTGAGGGCGCGGAGGATGGACGCGCCAAGGGGTGGGGGGTTTAATGTTGAAGCCGGGGCTCAATGTTGAAAGACACGCCTACCACCCCGTCGGATGTAAGGCTGTCTTGGAGCGGGGGTAACCGGAGTTGATCGCTTGGGTTGACTCAACTCGTCGAATGGTCAGCTGGTCACCGTTTGATCCGGAGCAACTCATTGCCAACATGCTCCACTAGAAGCAGATTCCGTTTGTTCGGAAGAGGTTGACAGTTGTTGTTGGCAACCCAGATTGTAACCCCACTCCAAGTGGAGTTGACCTTGTTATTGGTGGGCCACCAACCACGTCCTAACTTGGCGAATCGAACATCAAGCTTCTTTGGACTCGCGACGCCAGCATAAAAGGAAGGGGGGAGTTGGAAAAGGGAGGGCAGGGGGTGTAAAATGCTGACGGAGGGCAAAAAGGAAGCGGGCAACAAACGCTTGAGGGTGACAGAAAACTTCTCATGCGGAAGGGTTAATCATGCATTTGGTAGAACCAAAGAAAGGAACCGAAGGGAAAACAATACCCCCTACACCCACTACGACACCCACTACCCACTTTCTTTGTTAACCCTTTCTAAAAAGGAGGTATCTACCATGAAAGACCGGGTTTGTCCAAAAGAATACCCAGACAAAAAGGGGCCGGGGATTTGGAGTAGGGGGTAAGTGGCCTTCTGCGTTCGGGGGGGGGGGGGAATATGGAGGACACTTAGGGTCCATGTTGCCACCTCCTTTGTGTACGTTTTTCATTTTCTTCTCTAAACGGCATGTTATTTTTTTGGGGGTTCCAGGCTGTTTAGGTTGGGGCTTAGAGTTGGTTTAGTTTTTTTTTTTCTTTTTTTTTTTTTTCCGCGGCTTGGGGTTGGTTGAGAATGGTTTAGGGGTCGGTTGAGGGTTTTTGTTTCTCTTGTTTTTGCCGGCATGTTTCTTTCTTGGGTTCCAGGCCGCCAGAAAAAATCCAGCGCCTCGACGTGGCCACCCGGGGGTTTTCGGGAGGAGGGCGGCCTTGAGGTGAGCTCCGTGCTGGCCTTCGCGGTGTGCATGGACTGGAAGACCTCCGTCAGCGAGGCGCGCGCGCGCGCGCGACGCGGGCGCGCGGCGTCTGCGACGTCACTCGGGGGGGGGGGTCGGAAAGGGAAGCAGCAAGCTTCCAGTTGGACGAGAAATGAGTCGTTGGTCGGTTTCGTGGTGGGGCTGGGCAAATTTGATGAATTGTTGAATGAGGGTTCAGAAAGGTTCCATTTGGAATCATACAGGTTCATAAAGGTTCATTGGCCTGTTTCTTTTTCTGGGGGTTCGATCCATTTAGCCATTTAGCCCGCAAGCTAAACACTTTTGGGGGATCAGTTTGGACCGCCGGGTCCCCTTGGCCGTGTCATGTTGGTCCTTGGATTGCCAAGCAAAAGGGGGTCCACCAACCACCCAGCCACCCAACCACCTAACCACCCAGCCACCCAGCCACTCAACCACCCAACCCACCCAACCAACCAACAAGCAAACAAGACGCAAGTGACAGCAATTGGGCAGGGTCCCGTTTGGGTGGTAATAGGCCGTTGCCGAAAGTCCCCCCTTTTTTGGTTGCGCCAGTTGGGATGGATGACTTTTAGGCAGGGCTCGATGGGATAAACAACCTATCACCAGGAGGAGTTTGTCCTTCAGGAAAAGCCCTTTTGGTGTCGACAAAACCGCGGTGGTTTGAAACATCACTTTTTGGTTGCCATTTTCAAGCGAGTTTGCTTTGGGTGGGGTAGATGTTGCGGGAAATGCAGGGAGCTCCGGTGGAGTTTTTCTCTCAAAATGGTGCAGCAAAAGGGAACTTGATCGGGGGAACCATTTTACTTGGAATGAACAGGGCAACCAAAAGGAAGCCAGGGCCATTTTAGCATAGGCGTCCTTTCTAGGTTAGTTTGGTTTAAAATAGATGGCACTGGTTTAGATGGGCGTTGATGCCCCATTCACTAGGGAAACAAAAGGCCGCCTATGCATTGTTAGGGGACGGAATATTCTGCAAGGCCATCATCTACGTCATGGTCATCGGCCTGTCCGTGGACTATGTGATCCATTTAGGCCGGGCTGGAGTTGTCTTCTCGCCGGGGGATCCCTCAACGCATTTGGGCGGAAGTTTCGGCATGCAGGTTTTCACCGACTGTTGACCCAATGGGTTTGAAGGCTTGAAGACCCTTTTTGGGTTCGACAGAGTTGTTCTTTGCGGGGGAAATGGGCGAACGTTTCGGCCTGGTTCTGACTGAGTGCTGTTTACTCTGGTTTGAAAGCCCTTTTGTTCGCCATAGATGGAGACAAAACAACCCACTCAGACGATTCAAGGGGTTCCTGACGTTTTGACGTTCCAACTCTATCATTTTTTCCTGGGGTGGTTTCACACATGAGATGGGAGTGAGTTGGGGGGAGGTTCCGCGATCTGAGTTGGAGGTTCCAACTCGACCTATTTTCAACAAATGGCCGTGGGTCAACACCAATGGTACCATTGTGGGGTAGGTGAATTCACCACCCATTTTAGTGTATTTTAGTGGGGATAGGTGAATTCACCAGGTGCACCACCCATTTTAGTCTATTTTAGTGGGCATTGGGATGTTCACTGGGGCTAAGCGATTTTGATTTTGACCCATGGCCAAAGAAACCTCCTCTGGCTTCCCTACCTGGCCGCTTTTGGAGTGGGTGTCCCTTGGAGTTTTAGATCTGTGGAACCAGAGGGCTTCCTCCCCTCATTCTGGGTGCGAACCCACATGTCCCCGGATTTGAGGTGGCATTTTGGAGGATCGTCATGTGCAAAGCTGCCAACTGATCTCACCGAGTTTTTTCGGGAGGCGGGTGATGTTTCCCGGTTCCAAGAGTGGATCCCTCTTCTGGTGGGGCCCGACTCCAGGGGAGGGAAGAGTGGAGATGGAAGTCCCATGAAAGCTCGCCCAGTTTGCCTCAAACGCCCTGACCTTGTTTCCTTTCAACCCTTTCCGGAGGGGGGTACACTCCCTCAGACCAGAAAAGTTGCTTCCCCAATTGGCCTCCGTACATGGAACCAAGTCTTAAGGGGATCCTGGGAGTTTCCACGTGAGTCTGGGAAGGAGAGCAACCCAAACGCAGAGCGCATGCTTCATCCTTTTGGCTGCGGTGGCTAGAATTCGCCGGAACAAACATGATGTGCATCAACACGGTGGCTGCGTTCTTTTTGAACAAAACCATCTCTTTTTCTGGAGGGCGACTTGGCTTTGGTTGACGGGTATCGGTTTTCAGGTCCCATTGCACGCTTTCAGATTCGCAGAGCCATAGGGGGGAGCCCAAAGCACGCGACCAGTGAGAAAAAAAACTTCAAGGCCCAAATCACCTGAAGTGAAATCGTGCAAGGAGAAACACCTGTCTGTGTCTTTGTCTCTATTTGGCTGCGGGTCATAACCAATGGTACCATTTTGGGGTGGGTGCACCACCCATTTTAGAACCTATTTTAGTGGGGATTGGGATGTTCACTGGGGGTACGGGATTTTTACCCATGGCCATTTCTTCCCTGCAAAACGGCGCCATGACCCGAACTCCCGCCATTTTTTTGTTTTTTTGGGGAGCCCTCTAAAGGCGCGCCTGTCGACCGCCGTGGCGTTTTAGTTTTCGCGTGAGACGGGTGGCTCAGGAGACGCTTACTTGGAATGCCCCGACGAGAGCAACGAGGACCGCGTCCAGTTCATGGCCCGCGGCCTAAGAGCCCAACCATCTGGGTACCTTCCCCATTCTGAACCCAGGGATCCTTTTTTTATCAGGAAACCATCAAAAATCCAGCAGGAAAACTGCCGGTTGTTGAAACCCATTTGAAAAACCTCCGGAAACCCCGGGGAAACAGATCCAGTTTTGGAAAGGAGGATGGTTGAAAAGAAGGGACAAGGAATCAACCCCTAGAAACAAATCAAACCATGAACCTGCAGGTCTCAAAAGTTAGCCAAATCCAGGAATCCGGTTCGCGGCTTTTTCGTGGGTATCCCTGCAATCCATTTTCAACTCTTGCTTTTTTCCCCAACAGCTGAAAGCTTTGGGGTCTCAGCCCAGATAGGCTCCGGGGTGGTCCGGGGTGGCCCTGAGGTAAGGTTCCACAAGGGTTCCACCAGGGTTCCACCAGGTTCCACCAGGGTTCCACCAGGGTTCCACAAGGGTTCCACCAGGGTTCCACCAGGGTTCCACCAGAGTTTTACCAGGGTTCCACGAGAATTCCACGAAGTTCTGCGAGGGCTGCGGGGCCTGTTGGGGATATCACCTGAGTTTTTCTTCTTTTACCGGGTGGTTACTTTGGTTACCTGCCTTTACCAGGTAAATGGATTCACAAGGTTAGCCGAAGATCCAAGAAATAGTATGTATATATATATATCCAGCTAAAACCCAAGGTGGTGGGACATTGCCCGATTTTGTTTGAGGGTCCCTTTTTTTTCCTTTTTTTTTTTTAAGGGAAACCCATGGCACAACATCTTTTGCGGCCCACCCCCCTCCCCCCCCCCAAAAAAAAAACAACAACAACAAGACACGCCCATAGTAAGTACGGCCATAAGGACACTTCCAGACAAACAAAAGAGGTCCAACCCAAAGAAAACTGAGACTCACCCGCGGAGAAAAAAGATCCTCCGAACATTGCCAGGGTCTTACCTTTTGCATCCGTTTGCCCGATTCCTATTTTGAGAAGCACCCAACCGGGGACTTCTCAAAATGGAGCAAAACGGAACCTGGAAGGGGGGAAGCCATTTTAGTTGGCCCAGTGGATCCAGGAACCAAGGGCTTGCCATAGAGAAACCAAGAGTTGAGACTGGAACCTGCGGGTTATCTACGTAATCGTGGCGAAAAGGATTCCTGGGATCCACGTGGCAACAGGACACCAAAAGGAACGCTAGGGCTCCCCCATTCTGTCCACGGATCCTTCTTTCTAGAAAACCACCACTAAGTCCTGGGGAAACAGATCCGGTTTTGAAAAGAACGATGGCTGAAAACCCTAGAGGAACACCTAGAGGAACAACTTGGAATCAACCCCTAGAGGAACACCTTGCCATTTGACTAGGTCCCCCAGGATCGTGCCCTTTTGACCCACTTTTTTCGGGGGAGGGTTCTACTTAAGTAGACTACAGAAAAAAAAGTTGGTACCAACTTATTCAAACCTCTCAAGTGGAGGACCTAGTCTTGGTTCAGGCCCAAATAGGTGGTTTTGTTTGGGTTTTGCTGTAAACGACCCTTCAAAACGGGTGCCCTCAACAGAAAAACAAAAAAACACATGTGGGCCACTTTTGCACCGTTCGCTGCGGTTCCTACCTGGACTTAGTTGAGGAGTCGGATCCGTCGGATCGCGAGAAGGATTTCCCTTCACTGAGGTCACGAAGATGGGCGTGTCGGTGGTGTCTGGGGCGGTTTCCTCTGCCCCTCGTCCGATCTTGACGTGAGAGTCGGTTAGGTGGAACGGTGGAACCTCCGAATGGGCGGGTCACGTTTAGAGGGCCTCTAACAATGTCCACCTTGGATGAGTTCGCAACTTAGGTCCTTTCTTGGGATCCCAGATTTCAGGTTTTGGGACATGTTGCACCACGTGCAGATATGTCGACCTCGGATTAAAGTATGAAAACCCCAGACTAGTAAAGCGGAACCCCGCAAAATAGATGGCTTCCACGCTAAGATGAATCTGAAGTTGACATTATGCAAGTCTTGTTATTTGTAGCCACAAGCCATTCCTTTCACTTCTTGGAATCTTCAGTTTTGCCCCCTGTTTTTGGGGGGGTTGTTTCGAGGAAAACTGACAGGAAGCCATTTAGTTTAGGAGTTGCCCCCCATGTAGAGACAAACCCAAGTGGGTACAGAATACAGCAGGGTTTCCTCCATTTTCCTTTGGAACCTCCAAAAGTGGCGATCGTTTGAAAGGAAACCACAAGTTTGATCAATTGTTGATTTGGGGAAATCCAGTGACCCCTGTACAGGCAACTGCAGAGTCAACTTTCCCTTCTTATGATTTGAGAGCGGGTCCCCGTACGTCTTTTTGAGGTCCCTTTGAACCACGACTTCACACCGAAGCCAATCTTTGGGGTGCCCAATTCAACCCATTTTGACACCCCAAGCACTGGAATGAAGCCAAACAAGCGTGCCTTGGTGTCTTGTTTGCTTTTTCCGGGTCCGGTTTTTGGGTGGAGAGTGGCCCACTTGACGACAATCGTTTGGTCGCAAAGAACATCGATTTCAAATCGATCGCAAATCACCAAGGCTGGCGCGGCGGTGTTCATGATGTTCTGCAAGAGCCACTTGGAATCGTCACATCCGCACGCGCGCAACGTGCCAGAGGCAGATGGGTTCTTGAAAAAGGGGCCTTCTGGTTGATATTTGAAGAATAAGAGGAAGCTCACCAGTTTAGTGGACCGATTTCTATTTGCTTAAACACCCACATGGGTTCCCTTTTTGAGAGTTGGTGGCTTTTCCAGATTCGCTTCCCTCCCTAGAAGCTCCTTTGGGGGGCCCTTTTTCAATCCTCCTTCAGTTCATTGGCGGAACATGCACATGAGAGTTTCTCCAAATGGTGGATCTCCTTGTATTTCACAAGAAACCAACAGGACACCAACCATTTACAGTAATAAGCCCCCCCCCATGTTGAGAAACAGCTACACGGATGTGTCTTTGTTGGTGGCTACCCCTTTGTTTGGCTGGCTTTAACGGGAAACCCAAAAGGACCACCATGGTGAGGAACCTCTGCACGATCTAAAAGCCCATTGGGAGGTGTTGGGTCGCTGGACGAAAGCAACACATTGGAAGGGACAGCGAAGACCGCAGCCCTCATAACAGGTAGCTTCTGTGGTAAGACTACCTTCTTAAACGCGTTAGTCAAGAGTGCGTCATTCCAGTGATGCGATTCTTTGTTTTCTTGCTGGCATACGGGCCGAGGGGTTGTGGAAAATGAAGAGGCCCTTCCAGTGCACACATGCGTGTCCTTTTTGGTTTCTCATGTCGCTCGTGAATGGCTCGTGACCCCTATGCATGACCCGATGAACACCCCCGCCCCTTGGAAAAGCTTTTCTTGACCAGGAAAAACAAAAAACTAGCAAACCGATGGGCAGCCCAGGGGGTCACTCCCCCGGTCTCAGTATCAGGTGACCCATTTGGTCCTTCGTTCGAGAGCGCGCGACTGCAAGAAGCAAACCCGTGGGCCAAGGCTTGTTCCTCATCAAGTTCGGGAGCTTCGGCATGCATTCCCAAGTGTCGGCAACCTGTCGACCGGCTCCTTTTTTTTCTTCCTTTTTTCTTATATTTTTCCACCGTTTTTTCCTGGTTTGGCCCAACGTGATCCCAGGCGTTCCGCCGAAATGACGGAGGTCACCCTTCGCCATTTCTTCAACCTCTTGGTTTTCAGATGTTGTTGAGTGGCATGCCCTTGGTTACCTGCCATACAGGTAAATGAATCGATGTTCTGGGTCAAGAGTCGGAGGCCGAAAAATCCGCGCTGAAAACCCGAAAGAACCGAGAGGATGGGTGGCATGGCCAGGCAAATGGATCCACTGGGTTTCATCGGAGGCCGAGAAACCGAGCCGGACACCCGAAAAAAAAGGAAGAGGATCTAAAGGGAGGCTGAAAACCCGAGCCGAACACCGGGGCAAAATGGATCCACCGGATTTACTCCACCGAGAAAAAGGAAAAGAACACAAAAGAGAAGGCCCCGTTCCGGCCTCGATTTCCGATGTCCGGATGTCCGAGCAACCGCGAGGATCGTGATCTGCTTCGTGATCTCCGTGTCGGTGGTCACCTCGCTGGTCTTCTTCTCCGCCCTGCTGCTGGTGGCCGGGCCCAGCGGCCAGCGCCTGGCCGCAACGAGAGGGCGGTCAGGGGAGCCAAATGGAAGGGCAGGTTGCGAAATCCATGTCGAAAACCACCTGTCAGAAACCCAAGACAATGATGATTTCCAACAAACCATGGTTCGAACCATGGGTTCAAGGTGGTGCTGGAGTCTTTGTCCTTCCACTGCATAGGAAACGACGATATGGCTAGTCCTTGTTTGCTTGTTTTAATAAAATAAGATAAACAATAAATCCCCACCGAATTTCGATGTCCACCAAAGGGTCCCTAATTAACATTCATGCCCATATCCAAATCCATCACTGGGACCCATTCTTTTTCCATTCGCTGAACAAACAAAACATGGGTTCTCCATCACTACTGGACGTATTTTGCAGTTGCTGTTTGAAGCCGGACCTATACTCTTCTCACTTCTTCAGCACCACCTGCCAGTTGTTGTTGTTGTTTCCGCCCTGTTGGTTTTAAAGGGATCTATCACCACTGGAAGTGTTCTTTTCAGATTTTTGTTCAGGGAGCGTTGGGCAAATGGAGGACTCTCAGCTTTTGCAAGACGTCTGACCATGGCAAGCGATCTTCTCCCGTGGGCAAAGCCCTTTGGCAGTATCGGCAACTCCCATGCGATCGCGGAGCCCGGAAGTGAACGAGAATCCCCCCAAAATATTCAGTGCAGCCATCTGAGCATGTGGGAGGTCTGGGAGAGTTTTTCCCCTTTCCGGGGTTCGGTATGGGTTTCGTCACCCAACTCCATATTCAGGTTGTGGCTTCGGAGGTTTGTGGCTACCGAACCTCCAATGCAAGCTTGTAAGTCCGTATTCCTTACTCGAGTGGCTTCATACCCGAAACAAATCCGCCAAGAGAAGTATGTAAGGCAGTACGCTTTCTACAAGTTGTGTGTAGCATCAATAGAAGCTGAAGAAAAGCGCATTAGTGATGTAGAACCTTCATACCTCCAGAACCCATTGGCACATTTCTTTTTTCAAACATATTCTATGTTAGGGTTGTGGGATCTGGGGGGGTTTCTCCCCACTTCTGCGATACAAGGGAATCTCCCCCTTTATATGGGAGGTTAGTCTTTGGGAAGCCCCTTTCTGTCGTATCACATTATTGGTCATTTCTCGCGGCCCTGTTCTATATGGCTGTGGGTCAAAAATGGGCACCCAAAAGGAACCCTGGTACATGAAGACAAAGACTAAAACCGCGTACCCCCAGCTCTCAAGCCCTGATTTTGGGGCACCATTCATGCAGCTATTGATGAGGGGTGTCGGTTCCCCGTATGTTAGGACATGTAGACCCAATCTGAACCAACCTCTGGGCCGCTCGCTGAGGTGCGGCAGCATCACGCCGATGCTGGTGAAGCTGGGCATCAAGAAGTCTGACAAGTGGCTCGCCAGTGCCAGAAGTAGCTCCGGGGGTTAAGCCGTCAGGCAAGTAGGTTGTAACAACGGGTATAATTGGAACTAAAGTTGGTTGAGTTGTTGTGACTGGGGTACTTGGGGTTGGTTGGCTTATAATCATGGTTAAGAACCAAGGTTGTCACTGGGGTACTTGGGGTTGGTTGGCTTATAATCATGGTTAAGAACCAAGGTTGTGTCTGGGGTACTTGGGGTTGGTTGGCTTAAAATCATGGTTAAGAACCAAGGTTGTGACTGGGGTACTTGGGGTTGGTTGGCTTAACATCATGGTTAAGAACCAAGGTTGTGACTGGGGTACTTGGGGTTGGTTGGCTTACAATCCTGGTTAAGAACCAAGGTTGTGATTGGCTTATAATCATCGGTAAGAGCCAAGGTTGTGACTGGGGTACTTTGGGTTGGTTGGCTTATAATCATGGTTAAGAACCAAGGTTGTGATTGGCTTATAATCATCGTTAAGAGCCAAGGTTGTGACTGGGGTACTTGGGGTGGGTTGGCTTATAATCATGGTCAAGAACCAAGGTTGTGACTGGGGTACTTGGAGTTGGTTGGCTTATAATCATGGTTAAGAACCAAGGTTGTGATTGGCTTATAATCATCGTTAAGAGCCAAGGTTGTGACTGGGGTACTTGGGGTTGGTTGGCTTATAATCATGGTCAAGAACCAAGGTTGTGACTGGGGTACTTGGAGTTGGTTGGCTTATGATCATGGTTAGAACATACTTACTAAGCAGGTTGGGCATCCAAGAGACCTACTTGGATGGCGTTCTTTTTGGTTTCCCTCGAGGCCAGGGCGAATTCACACGAGTCTCCAGCTCTTTCTACTTTTCGGGTCGATGTCCGCCTGTACCATGGACAGCACCGTTTTGGGCGGAGCCCCATGGAAGCCCAACACGGAACCTCCATTGTGGCTTAATGAGCAAAATATCAATGCGGCAAGAGAAAGCCGCCATCCTGCCTGACTCAACCTTCCTAAACCTGGGGTTGATCTATTCCTGGCACCAAAATGACCATGGGTAACATAAGGGGGTGGGTTTAGCGGGGATTCCCCACGTTTGAAGGGAACACCCTCATATGAATACACTGGGGTTGATAAATCTGGGGTCAAAATTACTTACGTGGCCATGGGTCAAAAGCCCGGTTACCCTCAGTGAAAATCCAATCCCCACTAAAATAGACTGATGAATTCACCAATTCCCCAAAATGGGATCCCATTGGTTTTGACTCACAGCCACATGGGTGTGTCTTCTTCCAGGACAAAACGTCCCCCAAAATGGTTTTGTTGTCCTTTTGGTTTCCCGTTTCAACCACCCAAAACCAGGCACCCTCAAAAAAGACCATGGCCCAACTTGTTATCTCTTCGGGTTTCGGTCTCGGGAGACCCGAGAGTCGTGAGGCCCAGTCCGGAGAACGAGGCGGGCGGCGAAGAGCCGCCGGGGGCCCTAGAGAGCGCGCGTCTAGGGGTTGATTCGCGTTTCGACCAACCAAAAACCAGGCAAGCAGGCAAGCAAGCAAGCAATGCTGCTTACCTTTCCAACCCTTGCCATGGTTCTAGGGGTTGATTCCTTTTCCATTCTTTTCAGCCATTGGTCTTTTCAAAAACCGATCACCATTTCGCCAGGGTTTTTGGTGGTTTTCTACAAAAAAAACCCTGGAAAGAATGGGAAAGCTACCCCTAGAGCGTGTCCTGGCTGTTGTGGGAGCCCTGGTGTTCCATTTTGTTGTTTTGAGGTTTTCCCTTTTGGCACCTGGGCTCCTTGATGTTAACCTGGCATTGAGCAGAACCGCCTGGATGATTTTGATTGGGGGGTGTCCACTTTTAGTGTAAATTCAGACCACTTTTGGGGGGAACGCCCCCCGAATAGTGGGACGGGTTTATTGATTTTAGGTCAACATTATTTTACTTTTTTTGTTCTTTTCGGGGCCCTTCCACTTCGACTCGACGGCCATAGGTTCAGTTAGGTTTGTCAAAACGGCGAGACAGGTAAAGCCATTTGTTTGGGGTAAAAGGGGGGGTTCCAAGGGCCCTGGCTCGATTGGTTCCCAAGCGCTTGGCGTCCTTCTGCTTACAAAAAGAGCACCCAACGGGCCCATGGGCATCCTTTTTTCCGCAGGGAACTGAAGCCGCCGGTGTCGGCCCCAGAAGCCACTGTGTTGGCCCATAGTTTGCAAAAACAAGCACGTGGACACTTGGAGATTTTGCCCCCAAGACTCACAAGAACCCGGGCGGGTCTCAGATCCCCCGCTAAAAGTTTGGAAACTGCTGTGAATGGAGATTGGATGCGGCTGATTTGTGCTCTTGCGTGCGATTCCACCGATCCGGAGGTATCCTTTGAAGGGTCCCCCATACGGCCCTGAATTCTTAAGGGTCGGCCCCCCCGCCCGCAAAGTGGCTGGTGCGGTTCCCCAAAAATCAACCATCAACATTCAGGTGGGGTTCCCTAAATCACCTGTTGTTTGCTTAGCCACTCGAGTGGTTCTCGGCAGCCTCGGCAGCCTCGGCAGCCTCGGCAGCCTCGGCATGAGGGCGGCGGAGAAGGTGCAGCCGCGACTCTACTCCTCGGTGGTGAGGCGAGGTTCTCCGCTCGAAAGGGTTGCCCTTCCACCCGTTTCACATGGCTGTGGGTCAAGAATAGGGTAACCCCAAAATGGGTTGCCCTGGTAAATGGAAACATGGACTAAAGTCTGCGGTCCCCTGTTGGCTTTAATTTTGACATGGAGCCAGCAAAATGCTCCGAACAGGTCACATGGAGCCCGGTCCCTCTAAACGGTACCATGACCTTTGCAGGGAACCGCCCTTTGGGTTGGGATTTTTAGTGATAGATTCTGACCAATTAACATGGAGCCTGACGTTCGGGGGTCCTGGTTTGGACCATGCTCCTTTTAAAGGGACCGGGTCCCGAACGTCAGGTTCCGGCTGTTAATTGGGGGGAGGACAACCCCCAGTTTCTCCGCAAGTGTGCCCAAAAACTATGAGGCAAGTTTTCTTTCTTGAAAAGGGGGGTTCTGTCTGTTAATTTTGCAGGGTAACCAAAACAAAGTCGGGACAGGGATCCGAGCGGCAAATCCTCGGACATGTTTGCTTAAGTCTAGGTATCGGGTGCTCAAAGAAAGTCCGGAAGATTCGCCCCAAGCTGGTGGTATACCAGCATCCATGCCTGGAATTGCCCTTGGAACAGCTGTACTAGCCTTCCGTTGAACAAGTGGCACACTTTTTGGGCGGGTTTGGCGCTTTGTTCACCTCCGGCCTTCGGCCTGGTACCTCCAAAAGTGTCGACTACCTCGGTCGACGAGCTCCATCAACACCTCTACCTCTGGTGGTTTGGTCATTCATCTCCACATCGCCAGTGATTCTCCCTGGAGACCCCTCCAACGGCTAACAAATGGTTTGTGAAGTACCCTTTTGGGCCATTTGATAGGCCCAGGGCACCTGTCCACGTGTCTAGCTCGAACTTTATTTATCATTCACAACATAACCAGGGATTCTAAACTAGGTCCCCCAGTAGTGCCCTTTTTGCCCTTTTGTGGGGGAGGGTTCCCCTACTAAAATAGACTACAGAAAAAAAGGGTACCCTTATTCTAACCTCTCTACTGGAGGACCTAGTCAACTACCTACTGCGGATGAACGAAGTCCATTTCGCCACCTGAGAAACCGAACGGAATGATACGATCCCGTATTGTAAATACCAACCAAACAAACGTTATGGTTTCATTCATGGGTTTTGTTTCGTGCGAGACGCGTGCTTAACCATCCGCAGTCCGGATGGGAACCTCAAGACCAGCCCCCTCAATTCTCTCGTTTCATAGAAACCCATCAAGCCGGGCTTTTATGTACCCAACAAGGCACCCCTACCCGTAGCATCCCCTGCATCATCCGGACACGCACCCAACTTGGAGCCCAAAACATCCCCACATCCCCGGCCTGCCGGGCTGCAGGCATGTTGCCGCACCGTTAAGACACGCCGTAAATGCCGTCAAAATCGCCCAGTCAGCATCCCCAACATCCTGTATATCCCCAGCATCCCCGGCATTGGGCTTTCCAGCATCCCGCACCCCCGGCATCGTGTCAACCTTCCAAAATGGTCATGCTTGCGATCAAGCGAGAGGGGTTTGCTTTTGGTGCCGCGCTTGTGCGGCGCTCGCGCTGTGCGAATGCGAGCACGCACGCAAGGGTGAGCCGAAGGGTGGGCGGGGTGGGTGGGGGTGGAGGGTGGGTGGGTGAGGGAGGGCGGGTCAGCAACCACTGCAGCCAACCAGCGCAACGAAGCCCTAGGATTTCTTTTGAACCCCGATGTTTGTTTTCTTCACCCCCCCCCCCTATGAAAAAGACAAAAACCCACAAAAAAGCCGACACCTAGGTCCCCCAGCAGTGCCCTTTTACCCTTCTTTGGTTGGGAGGGTTCCCCTACTAAAATACACAGAACAGAAAAACAAAAAGCGGGTACCAATTTATTCCAAGCTCTCAAATCTGGACCTAGACACCTGGCTTTGGGGAAGGCTGTAGGCAGTCGTCGCGAGGTATCGGAAGAGCCTGGCGCGCGCCAGCATGGCCCAAGAGGATGCCCGAACCCTAGCGCTGCAGCTGGCAGGCCCGGGCAGCTGGGAGCTGGGAGCTTCTGGTTGGTGCGGGTTGGAGCGGCTCTGGGGTCGGGAGTTTGGTCGTTCTGGGGGGAGTTGGTCCCCTAGAAGGGCCCTCAACAACAACTCGTTTGGAGGGCCCAAAGAAAGTCGGGACCCTTGATCATGATTTTGGGTTGCAATCACCCATTTTTCTAGGGGACACTTCCATCTCCATTCTTTCCAGGGATCCTTTGAACCCCAGGGAAACAGCTGGTTTTTTGAAAAGAACGATGGTTGAAAAGAATGGGAAAGGAATCAACCCCTAGATTGGTGGGTGTTTTTGTTGTTGGTTTTCTTTTGTTCTAAAGACAAGTTACCAATGTCATGGAAACTGACGGAGGGTGTGGACATTCCGTCTGAAGCCCACAAAACTTCCAAGTTTCAATTCCGGGAGAAGAAACAACTACACACCAGAAACAAGATTGGGTAGTGATACTGTGGATGGACGACATTTCCCTGGAATGATGCGATTCCGCTGTAAAAAACCAACAGCCAATCCCTGGATGCAACCCTGGATTCAAAGGGGTGCGAAATGGATGTCCCAAATGGACAAGTCCCAGAGACTGGCGGGAGGTTCCCTGGCTGCCCTAGGCCCTTGTGGGAAAGCAACGGTTTTGGAGTCCCGAGTGGGGGGGTGCTCCAAGGGGAAGGGGGGGAGGTTCTTTGAGACGGTTTAAGAATCCCTGAGTAGGCAATGGTAAAAGCCCAAGGCGACCTAAGAATCTTGGGGGCTGTGTTTGGATTGAAGCATCGCGCTTATGGTACCCTGTCCACCGTTCCACTATATAGCATAGAAGCTGACGGGGGGGGGGGGATGCCGGAAGACCATGTTCCTTTAACCATGGGAGTCGACAAGGAGTTGTTCTTTGTTGGACCCGAATTGTCATCGGGATTGATGTCAACGTGTCGGCGAGTACTTGGGTGTTCCAACCTTTCGGATTCACTGCCATTTTCGGCATTTCTCTCGCATTGGGGCCCGGCATTCATTTTGCACCTGCAAGCCTTTGCTTTCTGTGCACAGGTGGCGACGCGGAGCGTCTCGGCTGGAAAGGGCGCGGTTTGGAATCAGGGCGGTTGGGAATCATGGGTCAAAATGGGTCAACAAAGACAAACTCGAGTTTCCAGGGATTCATACCCATATATGTGTATGCCTGCGGATGTACCAAAAGAGGGGCTTTGAACTGCCACGAAACCTCCCAAAACGCGGAAGGCCGAAGTTGTGTCCCAATGCCAGGGGCGATTTGAGGGACGACTCGCCTGCAGATTGACATCGAGCCCCAAACACCCATCCTTTAACCTTCCATTCAATTGTAGGGGGAGTGAGGCCGTCTGGGGCCAGGGTTCCTTTGGTGTCTTCTCGTGAGCCTCCGTCAAGAAGAGCAAGAAGATGCCGCAGGCTTCCCCAGAACTAGCTCCCCTTTTCGTCGTTTTTTGCTTTGTTGGGGGGTCCCCTTAACGATTTTTCCTCCTATCCAAGGGTCCAAGATGAATGAAGGGTCCAAACCCACAGTGATTCGCTGCCAACGGCAACAGACTAAAGGCGTTCAACCGATTCCCACTTCGTCTTTCCGTTTTCCTTCTCTGTCGGAAATAAAGACCCCGGGCCACGGGCGCTGGCTGTGCGGGTTTGCTGTGCGGGGTGCATAAGCCGCCCCTAGTAGTTACATTTAGAGGGACCCGTTCTCAAAATTACTCTCTGGGACGGGAGCGGGCCTTGAACCTTTAACCCACGATTTGGAGGGAAGATGAAAAGTAATAATTTGAAGGGTTCTGAATCTGGGCCCATGCAACCACCACCAAGGTGAACCTCATTTGGGCAGCCGTTCACGAAGCCGGTAGCCACGCAGCCGCCTTCGATTCTTCGCGTGCAGTAGCACTATTCATTGAATTGCCCGGAGAGGAGAAGCGGCACGGTCCATCTTGTGTCCCCAGAAAAAATCGTTAAGAACCCCCCCCCCATTTTCGTACTGTCGAGTTTGTGTGCCCAATTTCATCTTTTCCTTAGACAGTACATGGGGGGGGTTTGAGGGCACCAATTTGGTGGTTTTAACACCACCCTTGCGGGGGTTTCTGATTCCTAGTCTAAGTCAACGTGCAATAGCCCGGGTTTCAAATCAAAAGTGCAAAAAACAGGGATGATTTACTTCTACTTTATTTCAGACAACCATCTCGCACACAGGTTTTAAAAGGAGGCCCCCCCCCCCAATCACGTGCGCACCGATTGGGGGGTACAGCGAGATATTGGCCCATGGCTTTCAACAACGGATCTCGTACAAATACCGCTTCAGAGCCGCGGTTTCTCTCCCACGAGTGCGCCTCCTCCTTCATGAAACCGCAACGCCGGCTCAGTAGATGGAGAGTAAGATATGAGATGCCAAGCAGGCGCCTGTGGGGTCTCCGGGTCCATTGTTGCGGGAGACACGTCAACCTGGAGTCGGGTCTTTGTAGCTATACGGCTACGGGGCGTTCCGTTCAAGAGATTTCGAGATACCCAGCGTCATTGTACACTTGTCTGATCGATTCTGACAACAAAACTGGTGAGTGACACAATTAATCTGTAAAAAACGACTCTGTTTAGCCGAAAACCTGTCATTCCCCCATTTGGATTGTTATTGGCCGTTTTGCGAGGGATTCTGGTAAAGTCCAGGACGCCGTTTTGCGAAGGGTTCTCTCAAAAACCAGGACGCCGGTTTGCGAAGGGTTCTCTCAAAAACTAGGACGCCGGTTTGCGAAATATTCTTTCAAAATCCGAAACACCGTTTTGCGAAGGATTTTTCCGAAATCCGAAACGCCGGTTTGCGAAGAATTCTTTCAAAATCCGAACCGCCGTTTTGCGATGGATTCTTTCAAAATCCGAACCGCCGTTTTGCGAAGGACTTTTCTGAAATCCGAAACGACGGTTTGCGAAGGATTCTTCCGAAATCCAAACCGCCGTTTTGCGATGGATTTTTCCGAAATCCGAAACGCCGGTTTGCGAAGGATTCTTTCAAAATCCGAACCGCCGTGTTGCGATGGATTTTTCCGAAATCCGAACCGTCGGTTTGCGAAGGATTCTTTCAAAATCCGAACCGCCGTTTTGCGAAGGATTCTTTCAAAATCCAGCAAGCTGTTTTGCGAAGGATTTGTCCAAAATACAAAATGCCGTTTTGCGATGAATTCTGGTGGGATTCTTCTCAAAATCATGCTGCAGCCTAAGAGTTTAGAACCGAGGCTTCAGTCCTGGGAAGGTACTTTGCAAGACAACGAGCCCACTCTGCAAAAGTGCTAGTCTTCTCAAATCTGAGGTCGGGGATGTTGAGAATTCTTCGCAATTTTTGTGTTTCTTGCCCCAAAATCAAGTTCGGGATTTGCGATGAAACCTGGTGGGAATCATCGCAAAGTCCAGGCTTCGTCCAGGGCCACTGTTGCCACTTTTGAGGCTTCCAGTTTCGGAGGGCTGGCAATACAAGAGATTTTGCGATGATTCCCACCAGGTTTCATCGCAAATCCCGAACTTGATTTTGGGGCAAGAAACACACAAATTGCGAAGAATTCTCAACATCCCCGACCTCAGATTTGAGAAGACTAGCACTTTTGCAGAGTGGGCTCGTTGTCTTGCAAAGTACCTTCCCAGGACTGAAGCCTCGGTTCTAAACTCTTAGGCTGCAGCATGATTTTGAGAAGAATCCCACCAGAATTCATCGCAAAACGGCATTTTGTATTTTGGACAAATCCTTCGCAAAACAGCTTGCTGGATTTTGAAAGAATCCTTCGCAAAACGGCGGCGGTTCGGATTTTGAAAGAATCCTTCGCAAACAGACGGTTCGGATTTCGGAAAAATCCATCGCAAAACGGCGGTTCGGATTTTGAAAGAATCCTTCGCAAACCGGCGTTTCGGATTTCGGAAAAATCCATCGCAAAACGGCGGTTTGGATTTCGGAAGAATCCTTCGCAAACCGTCGTTTCGGATTTCAAAAAGTCCTTCGCAAAACGGCGGTTCGGATTTTGAAAGAATCCATCGCAAAACGGCGGTTCGGATTTTGAAAGAATCCTTCGCAAAACGGCGTCCTGGACTTTACCAGAATCCCTCGCAAAACGGCCAAAAACAATCCAATTGTGGGAATGACAGGTTTTCGGCTAAACAGAGTCGATCTTTTAAAGATTAATTGTGTCACTCACCAGTTTTGGAAGATCGAATTCTCAAGAAGTGGTTGTTGTCAGAAACGATCAAACAAGTGTACAATGACGCTGGGCATCTCGAACGGAACGCCCCGTAGCCGTATAGCTACAAAGACCGGCCTTCATGGGCCCGCGGGCTCTATGTTGTTTTGCCGCCATGTGCGGGGCCGGTCCAGGTTGACATGTTTCCCGCAACAATGGACCCGGAGACCCCGCAGGCGCCTGCTTGGCATCTCATATCTTACTCTCCATCTACTGAGCCGGCGTTGCGGTGTCATTGTCATGAAGGAAGCGCACTCGTGGGAGAGGAACCGCGGCTCTGAAGCGGTATGTGTACGAGATCCGTTGTTGAAAGCCATGGGCCCATATCTCGCTGTCCCCCCCAATCGGTGCGCACGTGATTGGGGGGGGGCTCCTGTTAAAACCTGTGTGCGAGATGGTTGTCTGAAATAAAGTAGAAGTACAACATCCCTGTTTTTTGCACTTGATTTTAAACACGGGCTATTGCACGTTGACTTAGACTAGGAATCAGAAACCCCCGCAAGTGGTGTTGAAACCACCAAATTGGTGCCCTCAACCCCCCTCCCCCCATGTACTGTCATCTAAGGAAAAGATTAAATTGGGCACACAAACTCGACAGTACGAAAATGGGGGGGGGGGAGTTCTTAACGAATTTTTATTGGGACACAAGATGGACCGTGCCGCTTCTCCTCTCCAGGCAATTCAATGAATAGTGCTACTGCGCGCGAAGAATCGAAGGCGGCTGCGTGGCTACCGGCTTCGTGAACGGCTGCCCAAGTGATGTTCACCTTGGTGGTGGTTGCATGGGCCCGGATTCAGAACCCTTCAAATTAGTACTTTTCATCTTCCCTCCAAATCGTGGGTTAAAGGTTCAAGGCCCTCTCCCGTCCCAGAGAGTAATTTGAGAACGGGTCCCACCCGCACAGCCAGCTCCCGCGGCCCGGGGTCTTTATTTCCGACAGAGAAGGAAAACGGAAAGACGAAGTGGGAATCGGTTGAACGCCTTTAGTCTGTTGCCGTTGGCAACGAATCACTGTGGGTTTGGACCCTTCATTCATCTTGGACCCTTGGATAGGAGGAAAAATCGTTCCTTGGTTTTCCACTAACCATGCAAGACATATTTTGTTTTTTGACGGGGTCCAAAGCTCCAGCCAAGAAATGTCCACTGACTCCGATCCCTCCAGAAACTTTACTTGTAGGGGCTCCTAGATGTCCATGACCCAGAGCTTGTTTTTACACTTGAGCCACAAGCAAAACCCGGGTAAATGAAGGTTAGTGAGGGGCACTCCCAGCCATAAATGGTTGCGGCCGCCTTTTCCATTCCCTACGTGGTTCTGGGTTCAGCATTTTTGTGCCAGGTTTTGAGTATGACTCACTTGGGCCTCGCTTGGGCAGAGCTGGGGGCATGTGCTACACCTACCGACCGGCGAAGACAGGGCTTGGACGATGCGTGAGAAAAAACTTTTGGGTGATGTTCGGCTGGCAGTATTGGCCGTGTCTCACAGTTCGGGCCCATCTAGGTGGCTGGGCGGCCTTTTTCGAAAACCAGCCAAAGTAAGGTTCCCCTACTGTGCAGCGGCGAAATCTATTTCGCCAAGGAAACCCAACGCAATGGTTTCGACTCCCAACGTAAACGCCGCAACAAAGGTTCTGGTTTCATTCCCATGGTTTCATGAACCGTGGCGAAATCGAACAACCGGGGCCCCGAGTCCCATCGCAGGTTGCAAACAAATGTGGAGATCGCCTCTCGGCCGGCTGAGTCGACGTGTGGGTCATTCGACTGACCCAGAGCCTGTTCCCGTTTTTTGGGGTAACCCTCTTTTTTTCTTGTTCCGATTTTAAGAAGAGGATCGCCCCCTGTTTTCGGGGTAGCCCTCAGTTATTTGTTGCTTGGTCGATTTCAAAAAGGAATCTTGGGGGGGCGGGGGGGGGGGGGGGTTGGGGGGGACCGGAGTTGTGACCCACGGCTGGCTGAACAAACCTTTCATCGTTGTTCTTTTGTTTTCGGGCCCTGCTTTTTTTGTTTTGTTTTTGTTCTTCTTTCCGACCTGTGGAAAAAAACATGGTTTCATGGGTTTGTCCACATCATTTGATTGAAGATGACAGCTTCCAACCACTCACCAGCAAGCAGTGGCTGCGACCTTTATGGTGGTCGAATATTGGACAGGTCAGTAAGACACCCAACCGAATGGCTCGATTCCCCGACCGAAATAGTGTAACGTTTGTTTATATGGTGTCTCAGGGTTTCATTCGTGGTGCGAACAAATTTCGCACGGTGCCACCCCCAAAAGTCCCCGGTAAAAAACGTGTTCTTGGTTTGCAAGCGCAGTGGTCTTTGGGTGGGGCCATCGTCTTGGGTTCCCATCACAGCAATTGGTTTTCACAGACCTTCTTACAGGATACATCCCCAAATCAGATTTGTGAAATAATTTGGATCCTGATTGAAATCAGCGGTTCGTAAAAGTCTTTGTTTCTTACCAGATTGGTCTGAAACACCTCAGTTTTTTCGCTTCCCTGTTGGCTCTTTAGCGATGACGTGACCCTCGTTGAGCGCTTGAGCTGGCCGGGACTCAGGAGATGTCGGCGGTGAAGGCTGAGCCCAAGGCCAAGTCAGGCGGGGAACCCCCCCAAAGACATGGATTCGGTCCTCCTTTTGGCTGCCTTCTTAGACCAGCTCACAAAGGGGTTCCCCCTAAGAAACGAGCCACAGATAGATGGGTATCCTTTGATTCAGATGAAAGGCGCCTTTGGTTTTCATCACCTTAGCTTGGCACCAAAGCGATTTTCCTACGCCAAAAAGAATGGGTTGCCAGGCAGCGAATTTTTCCAGGGGGTGGCACTTTTCGCATCTCTTTCCCTGGACATCGATCGTGACCCTCGTGCCTGTGAAACACTGATAGCGGCCATTCAATTTCGAGCTGCTTGGGTTCAGGCACTCTTGGGATCGAATCAAGTTTGAACAAGAACATTCGTTCGAGTAGCGGTTGCAGTCACTTTGGTGTGTGGCAATAGACAAACCTGGTGCCAAATGAGAGAGAGGAAGGAAGCCGTGGTGCGTCTTTTTAGCATTTTGTCGGGCCTTTGAGTTTGAGTCTCCTATGGCTGGGATCCTTTTGCTTGGGGCCACGCAGTTGTCCACGACCATCTTTTGTTGAGGGCGCCTCTCTTTTTTTGGGGTTTTGAAGGGACACCAACAAGGGAAGCCCGTTGCCCCATTTGGGGGGCACCCCTAAAAAAGGAACCGCGCCCCGATCGGGTCCATGTCTTCGCAAGTACCCTCCATCGGGAACGCAGGTCCGCGGGCGTCGGCATCCGACGCGAGCGGCAAGGATGCCTCCAGGCGCGCGCCCGCGCCGCGCGCCGCGCCCGCGGGCGTTCCGCGCGCGCCAGGCGGAGTTCGCCCGGACCGCGGCAGAGCACCGCCCGGTGAGATTTTTTTCGCATTTTTTCTTTGGTTTTGCAAGTATCCAAGTGGGACGCCCAATAGAAACTCCAAGGGGGAAATGGCGAAGGGTTGCCTTCTGAAGTGGCTTGCGGGTTGGAGAGCGCATGAGCCACACCATCCAACCCGGGGGATTTTTCGGTGCGGATCCGGCCCGTCCTTTAGCTTCAAACCCCGTTTTTGGTGGGGATTCGGTTTCATTTGAATCCTCACCCCAAACTCTGCCATTTCCGGCTCGCCCAAAGGAAATTGGGGCTCCGAGGGCTCGGATCCGAGGATTCTTTTTTGGGATCCTTTCGTTCAGCTGTGGGGAGTCGCCAGGTCTTGTTTCAGTGGCTCACATGGGATCTGGTCGTTCTGGTTTTCGGGGTCCCAGAGTTTGTTCGTTGGGATCACCAAACAATTGGTGGGGTGGATCACGTCATGTGTGTGTCGTTTTTGGAGTTGGTTTTAAAAGCAATGAAATAAGGAGCATCGTGGCGCCATTTTGGGGGTCCGATTCCCAAAACGGAGCCGCCCATGAGTGCTTTTTGTGTTTGGTGGAGTTCACAGATTTGTGGTTCGTTTCGCCAGTGCCAGTAATCTTCATTGGGGCATCAGATGCTTGAATGGATCCCTCGCCGGCGGAGCGGGCCGGCCGCTCGCTTCCCGCGAGGCAAGACGACGAGAGCGACGGGGAAGTGATGGATCTGAGAGACTTGCGGGACAGCTGAAGCTCCCGGAGGGCCGGCTGAAGAAGCAGCCCTCTAGAGGTACCTTCCATTTCCACTCTGAGCCCAGGGATCCGAAACCCGGGTTGGAAACGGATCCGGTTGTTGGAAAAGAACGATGGTTGGAAAGAACGGACAAGGAATCAACCCCTAGAAGCCCCGGAATCAACCCTCGACAGCTGTCCTTTGGATCGGTTTGGATAGAACTTGATGGGTTCCTATCTGGCTTAGGTTTCATGCCCCCGTACTACTGTGGATGGACGACATCCTGCACCACTTGAGAAACCCTGGAAAGATAGATCCCCTTGTAAACACCAAACAAAAACATGGTTTCTGATGGTTTCAAAGCGGTGCGAAATGGATTTCGTCCATCCACAGTAGGGCCGTTTTTTCAAAAGGTCGCCTATGTGAACCAACTGCTTCTCTCGCCTCATTTTTTTTTTGGGGGGGGGGCCCGGCGGTTTGGCGTTTTTGGGCCATTTCCTGGCTGAATCAACGGGAAACCAGGCCATACCTCCAAACCACAGGGCTGCATCCAGCAATTGGGGAGCGTTTTTTTCCGCGGGAGTTCCGAAACCAGGGCCACCCCATAGGAAGAAATACAGATCGGATGGACGAAATTCGTTTCGCGCCGCCTGAGAAACCCCTGGAATGATTCGATTTCCCCCTGTAAATGCCAACAAAGGTTATGGTTTCAAACATGGAGTTTCATTCCGTGGTGCGAACGGATTTCGATTTCAACCATCCACGGTAGGAGCTGATTTTTCTCCTGGGTTGACATGTAGCAAACCCACCAGTTGGGCTGGAAAAACCACGCAGCCAGAAGTTTTGTGGACAATGAAACCCTTCGAATGGGGTAAACCACCTGTCAACTGCAGGATTTGGTCTATCCACTGCTATGAATGCTGTTCGAGAAGCTAATCCCAACTGGGTTTGTCTCAAAATTTGTGGACCACTAAAACAGTCATTTTCCTTTTGGTTTCGTTCAAACAAAAGGGAATACCCGCCAACGACGCACACACCAACAGACACACACACACACACACACACACACCCTGGTGCAACCATCCATTCACGTGCTTAGATTTCCAGCCCACTTAGTAAGTAGGTTATAACCATGCTAGGCCGGCTAACCACCCAGGTACCCCAGGCAAACCACCTTGAAGTTATAACCTACTTACAGCTAATCCCAGTTACCCCCAGGCAAACACCGACACATCCTGTCCAGAAGGCCGAACAATGGTGTCAAGAGCTTCGGCGTGCTTTCTGGGAGGCCTGGCCAATGTCGCCCATCGGCTCAGCAGAATCGATTCGTTTCGGATGACGGCAGAAAAGCGAGCGGACGGCTTCGGTTCAGTTCGTCGAGGCGTAGGTTGCCACGTGATACTGTGGATGCGGAATCCATTTGGCTGTGGCTCAAAAAAACGGTACCTAAAGTGGAACCCTGGCAAGTGGAAACATGGACCAGAACCTGCGTAATTAACCCCTCCTGTTTAATTTTGAGCCACACCCATTTGAGCCACTTGCTCAAAACCGCTTCGGGGATTGATGAAGGTTAGTAAGGGGCCAGCCAGAAAAACTGGTGCGGATATCCGCCTTCTCAGTTCTTGAAGCATGGTTCGGGGTAGACCATTTGCATACTGGGTTTTGATTGTGACTCATCTTTGTGGTGGTTCTGGTCGAAAAAATCGATGGCGATTCCCGGCTTCCCTGGGTTCATCATCTACCAGGGCCATCTATTTCCCCCACCTAAGGGAAGGCTGACACGTTGTACTGTGGAGGGTTGCGGAATCCATCTCGCGGAATCCACGAAATGAAATCACGATTCCAGGGTTTAGTGGGTGGCGCAGGATTTCATGCATCCACAGTGTGAGAAGAAGTAGTCATGGGGATGGGACCCCCCTCGTCACCGAAAGGGATATTTGAATCCCACACCATGCGCCGAACCTTAAAAAGTCTCATGCCTAACCTGCAAACCAAAGACTAAACCAGAAAGGTCAAATGCTGCTATGGGTGGCTCGGCTTTTTAGGATTTGACCCCCCAAAAATGATGCAGCGGTCCCCCTTTAAAAAGCCACCCCCAAAAAGGGGCGTTGCCTAACCAAACGACACCCACAGTATTAACCTGGAGCACTTTTTAGCCCATCGACAGGGCTCCTTTCGGCTCGCGTTTTGGTGGTTGGGAACATAACGCGAGGCAACCGTGGTTGTTGTTGGGAAATATTTTACATTTTTGCTTATTGTGCATGGGAAATCCCCACTTAACTGCTAAAGTTTGAAAATTTTTGCTCCCCTTCTATCGCCAACCAAGCAAAGCTAGATCGTGTTTTTCCGTGCCAGATGAGCCACAATCAAAGCTTGCTTAGAAGCAAGGTCAGGGACACGTACTAGGTCCCCCAGTAGTGCCCTTTCTCACCCCTTGTTTGGGGGAGGGTTCCCCTACTAAAATAGATTACAGAGAAAAGTTGGTACCCTTATTCGATCGGGCGTAGCACCAGGTTTCGATTGTGGCTTGTGGCGAGCTAGCCCTGGAACATATCTTCAAGCGCTGCCCCTCAACGACGCGGCAAAGGTGAAATTAGAGTGTGTCTTGTTCTTCTGTGTTTTTTCTCTCATTTTTTAATATGCATATTGGTTGCTCTTTCTTCTTTTTTTTTTTTGGGGGGGGGTACTCTTGTCTGTGGCGGGGTTGGCATAGCCAAAAGGAAGCCACCGGCTTCACCACTTCGGTCAGACATAGCCGGTAGCTACATTCGGTAGTTCTTGCAGTCCCCATGTTGCACGTTCACCAAAGAATCTCTCCAAATCAAAGCACCCAAAATGGGGCACGTTTTTCAAAATACTGTCCCCAAAACACATAAATCGACAAACACAAGTGACCGGTCTCTTGTTGGTTTCCCTTTGAGCCACGCTTAAAGCAGAGTAGCTGCTGCCATCCCTTGGGCCAAGAGCCGCTGCCGCTACCCTTTGGCCCGGAGCACGGGACACGCCTTCGGGTGTATCGAAGGCCAAGGGATACCCAGCCGGGGGCGAGGGCGAGCCGGCAAAAGGCGAGGTCAAGATGATGGCCGGGCGCCCCGAGGGAGCAAAGCGCTGGAGTTGGGGCGCTTCCCTGAGACTGAACATGCCGTAATCTTCACGGCTCTTGGCATTTTTATTTTTAAATGTTTTTTTTTTCCTTTTTCTGGTGTTCTGTTCTGTTGTTTGGGTGGTTGCAAAAACCAGGGGGCTTGCTCACATGCCACAGATTGGAAAGTGATGGACAGGCACCGGTTGCGGGTGGTCTATCCCAGTAGCATCCCAACTAGTGCAAAGTAGATTTTGTCCTCCGTGGCGTCCTTTTGCAACACACTCGCACACACACACACACACAGACAAAAACACGAGCTGTGTAGGATTTTTAGGCACAGGCGATGGCTCAGCCATCAGGAAAAGGGGTTCAATCCATTTGAGACACACCCACCGAGGTTTGTCTCAGATTCACCGATTTTCCTTTGGTTTCCCAAAACCATTCACTACATCTATTTTTTTCGGGGGCAGTGAACACCCATCGATTTTCCAAGCCACGAATCTGTTATTTGAATAAACCGGTTCTCTTTTTTGGGCGGTTGCTTGGTGAGCGGCGCCAACTTAACCCCCCCCCCCCCCTAAACGCCCCCCCCCCCCCCATGAAACGGCGCCGCTTCCCCGGGCGGCTCCTTGGCTCCCGCGAGCGCGCGATCGCGCGCGCCGATCGATCGAGGTCACCGGAGGCCTCGGAGGCCTGGGGCTCATCGCCTCCTTCCACTGCGCCGGGACGCCCGCGGTGTGGCGCGTCGTCGGGCCGGTGGGTTGCGGCGGTCGAAGGGTTGCGGCGTGGTTGTGGTGGGGCTTCCGAGGAGGTTGGGGGGGGGGGAAGGCGTGCTTTTTTTCTTTTCTTTTCTTTTTGCTTTTTCGCCGCCGCCCCAGCAATATGCGGGTTCGACCTAGCTTGTTGTTGGATCCTTTTTGGTTGGTTCCTTTTGCCTGGATCCGGGGGAGAGTTTTGGGGTTGGGAAGCTGTGGATGTTAATCCTAGGGCTTCGCCATCACCAGCTGCGCTGGCCGGTCGGACAGGTGAGATGGGGAGCACTAAGAAGAACTCTGTTTAGGCGGGACCTTGTTTCAGAGCCTGACCTCCGGACCTGCTCCGCCGTGTCGCTTGATGTGTGCCTGCTTGCGTCCGGCGCTTGCGTCCGGCGCTTGCGTCCGGCGCGCGCGCGCGCGCGCCGCACGGGTCTCACACCGAAAGCAGCCCGTCCCAGCCCCACAGAAACCCATGGAAAAATGAAGAAAACAGCGGCGGCGGCCGTACCGCCAAAACCTGCTTTCAGGGGGCCATTTTTGAAGGGTTTGAGCGATGCAGGGGATGCAGGGGATGTAAGGGATGCTGGAACGCCCAGAGTGATGCAGGAATGCCGGGGATGCTGGCGAAGTTTGCAAGGATGCAGAGGATGTTGGCGGGGATGCTGGCGACTGTCCGGGGCGATTTGCACGGTATTTACAGTGTTTTTTGAAGGTCGGGCAAGGTGGCGTCAGAAGCCCGTCGCAAGGCCAGCGAGGCCGGGGATGTTTTGGGGTCCAAGTGTTTGGGCCGGCCTTCGTGCAGGTGATGCAGGCAATACTGAGGAGGAGCTTGGGGTGCAACAAAGCACGGCAGCGGTATACCCGACGGGTAGGGTTGCCCTCGCTCTTCGAGCTCGAAGACGCGCAGCGCAGCTGGATTTTTCGGGTTTTGGGGTCGCCTACTTGTTGTGGAGTTTCCTCATTTTGGCTGCCTTCCCCCAGGGAGGTTGCTGAAGCGGAGCACGGGAGCCCGTTCCAATGGGGTGGTCCTAACCACAACTCCAATTCCGGCATGGGTTTCTCATTTGGTCTTGGATACCTAGATAGCCAAGTTGCCGCTTTTCTCAGTCACTGTTGCTGGTTTTGCGGTAAAGTGCGTGGAAAAACGCAGCAACTGGCGATCCAGGTAGGTTTTACAGGGACCATTTGAGGGTCCATGCTTGCTGCTGGTGTTCCTTTCTTTTAAGAGTGACAAGCGCTTGTTTTGGGGCGCCCTTCACTTTGCACGGGTTTCAATGGTACACAAGCAGAAATCCACCTGTGCAAGGCACCTCAAGAGTGGTTTTCGCCATTCAGCAGGCTGCTCCGGGGCCAAGAAACCAGTTCGCAATCTTGGACCCACGATCCCATGACTCACAGCGGCAGATCGTTTCATGTACCGTCACTGAGCTGGGATCTGCCACTCAAAGTTCGGACCGGCCAACTTGAGGTGACCGGCTTTAGTTTTTTTGGTGTGGGGAATCCGACCCAAGTGGGCGGGAACCAATCGATTCCCGCCGGTCAGCTGCAACCAGCATATTTCTCATTGCCCCTCTTGGCTTTTTTGGGGAATCGATATCACTACTGGATCCATTCCATGTCGTTTTCTCATTTTTCCTTTTTTTTTCCTTTCCGCTTGGCTCCTTTTTTGCGCTTTTGGCGCCCATTTTTCGCCACCTCATGTTTCCAACTCCAGCAGTTGCCTTGCGAACCTGGGGGCCAGGCTTGCGCGCTTGCGCCAAGGCCAGGCCGGAGGAACTCGCGCCCCGAAGCCCCGCGCCGCCTTCGGTCGAAAGCCGAGGCCGCGGAGTTCGACAACCCCATCATCACCACCTCCCGCAGCGGCCGCCTCGGCAGCGGCGGGCCGGGGGCCCCAGGGGCGTCGCCTGAGGCGCCGCCTGACGCGTCGCTGGAGGCGAGGGGTCGCTTGGCGCGGAGGAAAAAGCCACGCCTCCGGCGCCTGGTTTTGTTTTTGGCGCTGGGTGGTTCCCCCACCCGAAACAAAAATGGAAGAAAGGCATTTGTTTTTGCCTTTTTTGGCGCTGGGTGGTTCCCCGAAACAAACAAATAAAAAGGGTGGATTTTTTGTTGAACCAAAGCGCCCGTTTGGAGGTCTGGGTTGCTTTTTTCAGCGGTTCTCCATGTTATTCGCTGTTGGGAGTAAGACACCTTTCAAAACCACTCTTCATTGAGGCTGGCACTTTCATGGACCCAGTTGAAGGATTCGTGGCAAAGTGAAACCAAAAGGAGGTTGCGGTCAAGCAGTTTGGTGGTTTGGATTGGTTGCACCATGCGAGCGGTTTTTTGGTACCTTTTTCAGGTTGGTTTGAATCGAAAGCGAAAAGGCAAGTCAGCATCGTGGCTTTTTTTGTGGCTCTGTGAATGTATCATAAGGTTTCCCTCTCTGAGTCCCCAAACTCAGGCACTGAACACGTCTCAGTGGGTTTGGCATTTTGCCAGTGAGTTTGGGGCAGGCAATGGGTTTGAGCCAGACGGACACCAACAGAAGGCTGCTTAAACCGTGGTGTGAACAAGGGGGTGGCCCAACCCCAGTTGTTGTGCATGGCGCTTTTTGCGCCCTGCAAATCAAGACGGGAACTTGCAAAGATGTTGGCACTGTTGAGGTAGTTTGAGCAAGGATGCCCACAAAGGAAAAAGCGAGCGAGAGAGACCCCAACTAGTTGGCCATGTGTTTTTCCAAGCTGTTAGGTAAAAGTAGCCGGAAGCTATTCCTAGAGCCCAAAAACTTTGGAAGCGTCCTTGTTTCTGGCCCTTTCCGCTGGGCAAATTCAGGTAACCCCCAATTGGTGGTTTGGAGTCCGGGTGGTTTGGGTTGAACCCCAGTACCTTTGGAACAACATGGGAACCGTTTAACATCCAAAGCGCCAAACCAAACCACCTCTTACAAGGAAACAAACCAAACCAAACCAATCCAATCCGAGGAAGCTGACAGGACTTCGGCTTGGCTTCTTCTCCTGAAAATTTCGGATTCTTGGGTTCTTGGTTTTATCGAGGTTTTCTTGGTTTTACGTGAAAGGCCCAAAACCTCGGCTTTTTCCCCGAAAGAGCCGACCTTTTTTTCTCGCCCAGGGCCTCGGCCATGAACATGTTCGAGGCGCTGAAGGAGATGGTCCCCGTCTACAACGTGAGGCCCGGCGACGGATGCCGGGAGTCGGGAGGGACGCGGTGCACTCGGTCTCTGAAAGGGCCGTGGCTCCAAAAAACGGCACCTGGACCCTCAAGCTACCCATAAAAATGGGAGATCACCCCATAATTTTGGGGGTCAAACCCATTTTTAAGTTGGCAGTTTGAGGCTTCAGGTACCAACATGGGTTGCCCGATCGGTAAGTGGAAACATGGACCAAGACCTGCGGTTTGCCCCTGGTTAATTTTGAGCCTTAAAGGTTGGCGGTTCATGTCCTCGGTTCACTTTAGAGGCATTTCCGAAGTTCTCATGGAATGAGCTGGAATGACAAAATGAACTTATGGTCACTTTACAGGAACCATGGCTGATCGATGAAAGGTTCTCTGGTTCTCATGGAATCAGCTGGAAGGACCAAAACAAATGGACCATCGTTCATTTCAGATCTGGTTCATGAGAACAAAACTCTGAGCCATCCAACTGGTGTTTCCTTTCAGATTCTTGCCAGAGTTCATTCGCAAAGCCACTCTTGATGCCTTGCTGAGAAAACCTGCATATGTATTTGAGCAACATTTGCTATCATTTGTAGGGATGACGTGGGGCGCGCTCGCCAAAAGGTCATAGGTAAATGGGTTGCTCACCACAATCCTACTGTGGATGGACGAACTCCTGCACCACTTTGAAACCATGGTTGAAATCATTGTTTCTTGGTATTTACAGGATAATCATCATTCCAGGGTTTCTTGGGTGGTGCGAAATGGGATGTCGTCCATCCACCGTATGTCAGTTCGGGCTCTTAGAAGTTTCCACAGGGAGTCATAGCTTCTGTTCCCGCAGGCGTGTCAACCCCATGGGCGTGACCTTTCGCCAGAAAAAAAAACAAAAAAAAAAACACCGCAAGAAACCAATTTATGGATGGATCCCCCCTTTTGGGGCCAAATAGACATGCGAGGAAAAACAGGAAGAAACCCGCTGATTCTGGGTTTTTTCGGTCGCCCGTCCGCTTCATCTGCCAGAAGGCTCGGCACGAGGCTGTGCCAAGACTTTCGGGTCTTGGGCTTTGGGAAAGCCGCGTAGATGCGGTGGTGTGTGTGGGTGGGTGTGGGTGGGTGGGGTGGGTGGGGTTGCGGGGGGGTGGGTGGGTGTGTGTGTGGGTGGGTTGGTTTGTTGAGGCTGCCCTTTTCAGGTTGGCTTGCCAAAAGTAACGCCTCCAAGCCAACCACATGTGTGGACGAGGCCATGGCAAAGCTAAACTTCCCCCGCCGTTCCTCCACGAATCCACAAGACCTGAAGCCACGAAGGCCCCCTGATTGGCCCTCGGTGAAGCCATATACCCAAGGCTCGCGCAGGGGGTTGCAACCGGGTGCCGGGAGTCGATGGGTTGCAGGCTGAACGTGGCCAATGCGCAAGACACCTCCGACGTCTTCGCCTGGGTCAGCCGACCGGGCATGCCGCCAGAGGACGGGGGGTAGTTGGTTCCTTTCTTCGCTTTGGGTCTGTCTTGCTTCTTTTTTGGGGCCGCCAAAATGGTGGTTTCCTCCCTTGAACACCACTAAAAAAGGGGCACCAACTCAAAAAGACACACCCTTCGTTTGACGTAGGAGGTGTGGTCGGAATTGCTGGTCGATGGTGCATACGAGAGCCATGGGGGGAACTCACCCAGGTTTCCCCCAAAAAACGAGGAAGACTCACCAGCTCTCTTGGGAAAACAGGTGATCTTGCCCGTGGCTGACACGACGGATTGGTGTGGTTGGTTCCTTGCTTCAGTTCCCGCGATAGAACCCTTGAGCTCCTTCTTGGGGGTAAAAGAACATGGGAACCCGGCAAGAGCCATTTGGCTCCTCAAAACATGGCATCCCCAAAATGGCATGCGGCATGTATGGAAACAAAGACCAAACCAGGGCAAGCCCCAGCTGTTTCATTTTGGGCCACACCCATTCGTACTTTTCTCGTGGAAAAGAAGCCTTCTGCGGGACCCTCATGATGCTGAACATTGGGCCGATCCTTGTTGACTGAATCGCGATAGCCTGTAGGTGGCACGTCGGAGATGCGTACACATCGCAACGGAAACAAACGGTTTTGACATTAAACCCACAAAACCATATACCAGGTCCATCTATTTTTCCAACAGGTCGCCTAAGCTACAAAAGGTCGAAAGGCCTTAGACCTCGTTCGGGGCGGGCTTAGAGCAACCTAGTGTTGGCTCGCCTTGCTTCCAAACGCTTCATTTGAAGACGTGCGCTTCTTCTTCTTTTCTTTTTTTTGCGCGTCAGAGATCCGCTGGGGCTGTCTTTGAGAAAGGCAGTAGTGGGGCTAGTCGGTGCGCACGAAGTTTTGTGGACCCGTATTAACGGCCCAAAAGACGGTTTAGTCCCAACCACTTATTTTTGAACAGTACTTTGCTTGTGGACATGAACAAAAGCACGCAAGTTGGGACCCGGTTGCTGGTTGTTTCCATTTTTTCTCCCCGAGTTTTGAATCGGCACCCCAATGGGGGCTTGGTTGTTCGGACGATTGGGGAGGGTGAGTTCAGGGTGAGAAAGTAGAAGCACTGGCAAGTGTAATGAATTGGGTGTCAAAGCGCTTGTTTCCGAAAGAACGCCCCGCAAGGGGGACGGATACTTGCTTCGTTTGCAGACCTTGAATCGGGTTTTGGTGTTGAGGGACCCCAAAATCATGGTACTGTAAGTACCCTCAAAAAGCCACCCAAGTGATCCCCCAGCTTTGGAGCTATTCAACTCCTCCCTTGGTTACACGGACTTGCCTTTGCCCTGACTGGAAGGACAGCAAGATCCTGATCGATGAAGTGGTCTACCAGGCGCCGAAGATGCCGAAGCCCGAAAAATCCAAAGTCTTTTGGCTAGATTTCGCTCAAACGCCTACACTCTTGTTCTTGCGGGCAAATTGAGGTTCTCCTTGACTTGTTGGGTGTTCTGAACGCATTCCGGAATGCTCTCACCATGCGCTCGAGTCACTTCATGCTTGCGAAGGGTTTAAGAGGGCATCCAGCCCTCTTCCACGGATGGGTGTGTCTTTTGTGAGGGGACCCCCCCCAAAAAAAAAGGCATCGGTTTTCCTTTTGGTTTCCCTTGCAAACCAGAAAAGGCACCCGGATGAAGGTGTTTTTCAGCAGGGTCACTCGGAAAGGACTTCTGCTCTCCGCTTCTTTTCAGGTGGCTCCCACTTTCTGAATGGCCAGGGAGAGCAAGGCCATTCCATATGGGCATGTCTTTGAGGGTTTGGCACTTTTTTTTGGCTGTTTGAACAAAGGAACGAAAGGACAAGCAGCAATTTTCAGGGTTCCGATTTTTTTTGACACAAGCCCATTTTGGTTGCACTTGATTGAACTGGTTGTCTCCCAGGCCACGTGCTCCGAACCTCAAAAGCATCTCAGAAACCACAGGCTTCCACTTTTTTTCTTTGGGGGGGATATCCAACATCGCGTCAAACCAAGACGCACAGCCCGCCCAAAGCCCGAGCTCTTTAACGCGCCTTTTTTCCGGCGTTTTTTTTTCTTTTTTCTCCGCCGCCCAAAAACGTCGCGGCGGCGTTTTTGGCGGCGCAGGTGAAGTACAAGATCCACTCGCTGCCGGACGAGGCGCTGAGGCGAATCCAGGAGTCCCAGCCTCGGAGCCGGCCTCGATCGGAGCCTCGGAGATCGGAGATCTTGGCCCCCGAAAAAGAAAAAAGAAGAAACCAAAACGGCGGTGGGCCAGTTTTGGGGGTGTCTCTTTGGGGGCAACCCCTTTTTGGCTTGGAAACCAAAAGGAGAAAACAACCATTTTTTGGGGGGAACCATAAAGTTGACCCCATATGAATCAACCAACCGGTTTATGAATCGGGGGGGTGGGGGAAAACCCCTCCAAAAGTGGTCTGATTCCCGCACTAAACCCAGATGGACACCCCCCTATTGACAAACAGGGGTTGACTAATATGGGGTCAACCATTTGTGGCTTTGTCGCGTACACCGTAGATTTTGCCTTGGGCCAAAACAAGGGCAGCGGTGGTTTGTGTTGGACCACTGGCCCCATAAGCTCAAAGGTTGTTTGTCTTGCTGGTTCTCAGATGAGCGGAAATCGACTCCTGCCAATGCCCTTTGAATTTTTTTTGGGTTCGAATCCTCCGGTTCCTTCCCGAAGCCTGCGTTCCCTACCTATCGCAGCAAGAAACTTCAGTTGGAAGGGATGCACCCCTCGGCTCAGGACCATCTGCGGGGGGGTTCCACACATTTTTCCGTGGAGGTGCGGTTTCCCCGCCTTTTCTTTTTGAGACACCAAAAAGGAAAGTAGGTATTAAGTGCAAATCCCTAGAGATAGCCAGGTGCCTCTCTCTCATTAGAAGCGCTGGCGATTTGCCTCCAGGGTTTTTCTTTCAATTCTAAAAGGAATCCCGGATGTGTGTCAGAATGGGGGGGCTCCAAAATGGTTGGTTTCCGTTTGGTTCCCCATTAAATACCAAGCAAAAGGGGGTCAATGACTGGGAGAAACTTGCCAAGGGCACCGTACAACAAAGAGCCCGGACGGGGTTTGTTGGCCAACTTTTCACGTTGATTGGGGACACAAGGAACTGGGGCCTCTTATGTTCGCGCGGTTGGTTTGCTTGAAAGGAGACAGACCGGGTAAGGGAAGCCAAAACCAACAACAAGCGTTCTAGCTTGTCCTGTCCAAGCCTGTCCTGAAGGGTTGAAATTACTTGTGGTCTATGCACCCAAACTTCAAAAAGAGCAAGGGGCCCACCCATTTTTCCCTTATCCCGAAACACATGGGTAATTTCAGTTGTGGGGCTCAAACAAAAATCGGAACCGCTCAGGTTCCTCCTGGAAGTCTCGGACAAGCTGCAGCAGATCATGTCGGACATGCGCCGAGAGTCGAAGATCGATCAGTGCGGACCTCAGTCAGAACGCCTCTCTAGGCCGCCTGGGCATGCTGACAGGGTTTTGGAGGTAGAAGGGCAAGTCATAGGATGATAATGTTGGTACTTACTTGGCCCAAAGATTGCTGGAAGCGCTGGGTCTGCATTTTCAGATAGCTCGGTAGTGACCAAAGCTGGTTCCTTGCGGTTTACCTTCAAAAGCAACCACTCTCAGAATCTCAAAGGTGGGTTTTCCGTTTGAGCCAACCAAGGCCGTGCGGAAGATGGCGGTTGCTTTGGACGCAGAACCAAACAGGGCAGCGCACTCCAAAAATCGATCCTGCAAATGTTTGGGGTCTCCTCAAAAAACATGTTGTATTCAGCGTACACTAAATTATGAAAAAAACAGCGTCTGAAAAAGAAGAGCAGGGTACCTATATTTTTTGGGGGTCCAATCTGAGAAAAAAAGCAGTGTACCTTTATTTTGGGGGCCAATATATGTTCCTGAGCTTGCGCAGAAGGGGAACCGAGCACGGATGGTTTTCGTAGCCGCAGGTCCACCATGCAGGACCTGGCGCAGAAAGATGCCGCGGTCAGCCACGCCATTAGCCTCATCCGGGCTAAGGCCGGGCTCCGTCCACTTGGCGAAAATTCGCCGATGGTGTTCATTCGCATTTTTGTCGGAGGATGCCCTTAATGTTGTCCGTGTAAATCAACCCACAAATGAGCCACAATGAAAACCCGGGTAGATGAAGGTTAGGAAGACGCCGCTGGAGCAAGGCAGACTCATAATGCAAAAACCTGGCCCCTCAAAATTCGCATAAACATAAGATATGCCCCCACAATCATGGGCGAATTCCAATGTTTGGGGGGTAGTTTGAGGGTCCAAGTGAGCCACTTGCTCAAAACCCGAGAATTGATGAAGGTTAGCAAGGGGCAGTCCCAGCCAAAAGAATAGTTGCGGCTATCCGCCTTCTTAATTCTTGAAACATGGTTCTGGGTAGTCCATTTTACTGCCGCGTTTTTATTGTGACTCACTTGGGGGTAACCCCCAACAAGGTGAAGCCTAGACGGACTTCTAAGTGGGGCAAAACACCTAGGTTGAAAACAAGTGAACATAAGTTGTGTTGGCCTTGTTCAGTGAAAAGGCCACCCGTGAATGTAGGGTTACCATTGTTAAGGGGTTATAACCTGAGCGGCGATCCCTACATCCAAGTACTGAGGTAAGCCTCAAGCCCGGTTTGGACCGGGATTTTGAAGCCGAGCTCCTTAGCGTAGGTGCCCCAGTCCAAACCACCAAGGGGTACCCTCCCAGCAGCTGACATGGAAGTGCAGAGACCCCTGTAGAAAGACTACTTTCCTCTTGGAAAGGGCCTGTTTGCAGTTCCATGTTTAGTTGGTGGGAGGTAAGCTGATCTACTAAGGCTCTCACAAGGCGACTCAAACAAGACCCGCTTTTCTTGGCAACAGGATTCATTTCGGGTGGAAGTCCATGCCATCCAATCGCTTTTCTTTTTCCCAGGCACATGCCGAAACACAGTCAGAGTTGTGGGTTGCCAGAAGCGAAAACAGCAACTCGCTGGCGATCCAGGTACTTACCGCATCTCTCGGATGAACATCAAGACGTCTTTGGGTTCATGTGCCAAGGAAGGATTCGGCTGGGAAGGTCTCTGTGATGGGGTACGCGAATCGCTAGGAGACTCAACAAAAAAGTCCTATGTTCCAAACCTGCTTTTGACTCCCTGGTGGCTTTTTTAAGGGGGTCCAAGTTTCATTCTGTCCAGCAGGGTCACAACATTTGACTGTGGCCTGTGCCTGAGGCTTGAACGAACTGCACGCCTGCTGAAAACCAGCTTTCGGTGGTCAACATCACGTTGTGTGGGAACTCCCTGGATAAAGTTGCATTTGGAGTGTGTTTTGGAGGTGTGCTACGTTAATCCAAGTTGAACCTCCCCCCCAACCCAACCCTCACCGTACCGGTTCACAGAAAAGGGAATCACGTTCGTGATTTTGCATTCCCAGAATCCGCGAACCTGCGAGTTACGTGGGAACTCTCCGTACAATGCAATTTAGAGGGGGAAAGGTATGCCACGTTCCCAAAACCTCCCCCAAGCCAATCCAACCCAACCCAACCCAACCCAACCCAACCCAACCCCACCCCACCCCACCCACCCCACCCCACCCCACCCCACCCAGCCCAACCCAACCCAACCCCACCCCACCCCACCCCACCCCACCCCACCCCACCCCACCCAGCCCAACCCAACCCAACCCCACCCCACCCCACCCCACCCCACCCAACCCAACCCAACCCAACCCAACCCAACCCAAGCCGCGATTTTCCATTTTTTTTTTCGGCTTCGATGTCATCGACCTCCTCGAGCTTAACGAGTGCTCGATTTCGCCAGGTGGGGGCAGTGCCAAGAAGCTGCCGACTGCTGGGGGGCCTGCCCACGGCGGGCTACGCCGCCGGGGGCCCTTGGGTCGGAGTGCGTCCGCGGAGGGCGTCTTGGGCGGAGGGGAATTGGTCTTTTCGGTGGGCATTTGATGAGAAACGCAGTTTGCCAGGGGTTTTTCCCTTCTGAATTGGAAAGGGATCCAGGAGGTCCGTCTGAAGTGGCTCTGCCAAATTTACAGGTAAATCGCGCGATTCGAGCAACGATCCGGAAGGTTCGTGTAACAAAGTTGTTTCAAAGGGAACCCCAAACATATTGTATGGTTGTGGATTTTGAGACAAACCCAGTTGCGGAGACAACTGTCGGAGGTATGACCAGTTGTTCAGTGGCACCCTCTGAACCCAGGCTCCAGTCACCATTGCAGGGTCTGCCATCGCCCACTCAATTCCCTCTTTTGCTGAGACTTGTCAGGGACTCTTTAGATTTCTCTAGAAAAATATCGCAGCCAAAGCCACCAAGAGGACTGGTTCCAGATGTTTTAGTACCCCAACTTGGGCTCAATGACTGTGCGCCAGATCCCCTTAAAACTCAACAAGTCGTCATGTTGTGCGTGTTTCCTTGGGGGGAGCCCGTGTCGGAGGTTGACCGGAACCCCAGACATATTTTGTGGGTTGTGGATTTTGAGACGAACCCATTTGCGGAGACAACCGTCGGAGCCCAAATGGTTCAGCGGCACCCTCCTGGCTCCTGGCTCCCAGCAAGCAGCTGATCAACCCTCCAAGAGCCAGTGGTTGCAACTGGGGTCTGGTTTCACCCAAGCCGGCTCTATTTCCAAACCGAGTTGGTTGGGACCATGGTTTATGGTTTCCAGGTGGTGTCTCACCCCCACTTGGTCACCCCACAAACAAACTATTCCATATCTTTTTGCCAAAGGCAACTTTCCAAGGCAACTTAGCCAAGGCAACTTTGCCCAGGTAACTTTGCCAAGGCAACTTTGTCGAGGCAACTGGTTACAACCAGAGGCATAGGAAATCCACGTTGGGCTCCGTGCGTTTTAGACTCCTCGGGCTCGGATCCGAAATAGGTGCCAGACGCGGATCCCGACGCGCTGCGGGGATCCAAGCGGAGCGGTCGCTCCGGATTCCATGCAGCTGATGCCGTGGTTGAAATCGAAATCCGTTCCCACCACTTTGAAACCGGTGGTTGACATTGAAGCCATGGTTTGTTGGTTCTTACCAGGGGTATCAAATCATTTCAGGGTAAACCCTGCTGCAGGATTTCGCCCATCCGCAGCAGGGGGTTTCTCAAAATGGGGGTCCGAATCCCATGTTGATTCACTTTCAAAAGGAAAAAACAGATGGTCTCCTGTTGGTTTTCCCTTGGATACCAACCAATAGGAGGCGATCACTTGGAGAACATGTCTGAGCAGAAATGTTGACCCCATATTACTCAACCCCAGTTTATTGATAGGGGGGTGTCCTGGGTTCAGTGGGAAATCATCACTTTGGAGGGGATCACCCTCGCAGGCCCCCCCCCCCCAACAAGAAAACAAGAGAAAAGGAAGGAAACAAGAAGAAGACAAGTTCATACTGTGGATGGACGGAATCCTGCACTACCTAAGCAACCCTAGAATGATGATTTCCCTGTGAATGCCAACAAACAATGGTTTTTCATTGTTCCAAAGTGGTGCGAAATGGATTTCGTCCATCCACAGTAGGATGCTAATGTTGGTGATTACTTGGCCCAAAGATTGCTGGAAGCGCTGGGTCTGGGTCAGGTCGCTTTTCAGACAGCTCGGTTTTCATGGTTTTCATGGTTTTCATTACAAGCACCACAAAAACCGGGGGGTACGCCAACCAAAAAAGCAATCGGCGCAAAGAGCCTCGCGCCCAGGGCAGCCCGCGGCCAAGAGCCGAGCCAGGCGCGGAGTTGGTGTTCGCTTTCGTTGAAACCGCGCGAAAACGCCGTTGGTTTACCCTCCGTTCCACTAACATGGCACCTGACAGGGGGCCCCAAGAAGAAAATTCATCTTCCAGGTACCCTCCGACAAGTGCCATGTTATTGGGAGGGAGGTTTATCCATATCTTGTCAGGGTCAAAATTAAACCACCATGGGACCGCAGGGTTTTAGTCCTTGGTTCCATTTACCAGGCTTACATTTTGGGTACCTATGTTCGACACAGGGTGATGCTTGTAGCATCAAGTTTGGGACAGGTGAATTCGATGTAAGCTTCCTTCAAGCGATGTTTTTTTCAAGGGAGGAATGAGGGGAGACCTTAGTTGAGAGGAAAGGGACGATGTTCAAACATATGTAGCCGAGGGAAGATTACATCAACAGGCGGGGTCCACCCTTATCTTGGGGCAAATGGGAAATGGTCGGAAGTTGCGAACCCTCAACCCCAACTGATGAATGACCCTTTGGGTGCTTATTTGTGGGGGGGGGGGAAGAGATTTGGGTGCTTCATAGACTTGGAGACCTTACAGGGTGGGTTTTCTATGTTTTCCCTTCAACCGTTCAAAGCCAAAGGGACAACACCAAGTTTGAGGAGCTTGTGCAGGTTTCCGCCCAGCTATGCGAGCGTCGTCCGAATTTCGCTCCCCCGTTGGATGATGATGGAAGGAAGAAACCAGCAGATTGTGGGTCCCCTGCTTGGGGTTCTAACGGTTTTTTCTATTGGGTGGGGGGTATGGCAACGATGTTTGCTCATGCTTCCACACGATTTCTCTGCGAGAAGCACCAGCAAAAGCAACAGCCCAACAACCCAACAACCCGACAGCCCAGTAACCCAACATCTCAACAGCTCTTGTTGTGAGCAACCCGGTCCTTTGGAGAGTCGAGCAAAGAAGCAACAAAACGACGACAGGGGCAGGTTTTCCAGGTGTTCGCCCCTGCCAGGCCTTCACTGGCAGAGCAGCTCGGCAGAACCGGGTGTGGCTGGCGTGCTGGAACGCCCCTCCTGTTGGGTGGGTGTGTTTTTCCGTTTTCCCCAACAGCTGAAAGCTAAGGGGTCTCAGCCCAGATCAGGTTTGGGAGTGGCTCCAGGGGAGCTTATGCTGTATGCTGATGGGGATCTCACCCGAGAGCCCGCCTTTTTTTTTTATGTTCTAGGCGCCCTTGAAAGGGGTTGGTTTGGTCTCGGGAGAAGCCCAAAAGGAGACCCAAAGCACCCCCGGGGGATTTTTTTCAGTTGCGACTTCCGGTTCCAATTTTTTGAGGCTCAGTCTGTAAGCCTTCGTTCAGCAGGGGCCTGCAGCATTCGAAGTCGGTCAAAACCGACTCGGCGCTTGGACGTTAAGCCAAGCGGCGCGTCTTTTTTTCGCGCCCGCTTCGCCAGGCAAACGTCCAGCTCCTGACGAAACTATGTTTTTTTTTTTGTGTTTTGTTTTTCGCCTTGCTGGCTTGAAGGGGAATCTAATTATCACTACTGGACATACTGTGGGCGGGACCCTGGACCACGGAATGAAACCATGGTGGACACCATTGTTTCTTGGTATTTACCTTGGGGAATCCTCAGAAACCAGGGGTTAGTCGGTGGTGCGAAACGGACTTCGCAACGATCCACAGTAGTTGTTTTCTATTATAAATCTGTTTGTGCACGGTGCGAAAAGGATTTCGTCCAGGCACCGTAGCTCTTCTCATCTTTTTTCGAGAAAGCGTTCGGAACGCGCAGGGGCCGTTCTCTTCATGTGGACTCCGGACAAATCCACCGCGGGCCTGGGGTCTGCCAATTTTCGAACAAAAATCGGGCCGTGGTTTTCCCCCGGCTTTTTGGGATGTGGAGCCCCCAGAATGGTGTTCCTTTTGGTTTCTCCTGAACACCCACACATGTTCGGGTCAAGAGCAGGTTCTTTTCATTCACCGAGGTGACATTTTTTACCGAGGTGCCATTTTGGTTCCATTCACCGAGGTGAAAAAAAATGGCACCACTTTTTTTGAGCCACGGCCATTGAGATTTGCGGTTTTCGCCCCTAGCCCTAAGCTGCCCTTTGCCAAGCGCGGCTTCCGCCGCCGCCGCAAGGCTTCAGTGGCAGACATCATGGAGGTGGAGCCGGAGCCTGAGCTACCAGCGGCCAGATCCCACTCCACCGGTGGTCCTTTTGATCGGTGAGGGTGGGCCGAAAATAGATGGTCCACTGGTTTAGATGCCATCGATTTTTCCGAAAAGGACACCTATATCGTTTTCTTTTTGAGGCCCTTTCAGATTGGTTTCAAGGGGGTTGGCACCCCCCCGGTTTCAGGATGTCCTGACTCTCAGAAGCAGTTGGTTGCAAGACCAAAAGGGCAACTGCCATTTGTGGGGTCGACACCCTTATACCCTTATCTGGACACACCCATTTCTGCTGTTTAGAAGAGGGAGACAACAACCCATACATTGTTGTCATCCCCCCAGTCCCAGGAAGGAGGTTCTTTTGAAGATGACGATTCTTTGGAGGTTCCAGACACTTTATCCTAAAAACAGTCACAGTTGTTGGAAACACACGATTCACAACTTGGCGATCCAGGTGATGATTGTAGGAGGTCCCAGGGCAGGTGTTCTTTTTGTTTAGTTTAGATTGGTTTAATCATCTACAAGGCCATTTGTGCTCCCCAGAATGTCACCTATGGCTGCAGGAGTGTCATCCCGAAGGCTTGCGCGACGAACGAATCCTAAGGCGCCACAGCTTCCTGCCGAAGCCGATTGGCCCCACCACCAGCGCGCTCTTCTAGCAGGGTGGGACTTAAGCGGCCCCGGTGGAAATTCGGCGTCCCTTTGCGCCACCAAAGCCAGTTCTACCGAAGTTTGGGAGGAAACCGGGGGGGAGGGGAGGTTGGATGTTTCTTTTGGGAGGCTTAGGGACCATCTCTATCCTGCGGTGCCTGCAGTTGGAAGGTGAAGGGGTTACAGTAATTCAAGCCAAAGGAGTTGTTCTTTCACCAAATGAGGCTTCCACCACGGGTTCGACCAAGGGGCAGCGAACTGTCCCACCCTGCGAAACGACGAAGCGAGCGCGGAAAGCGGCGTCTCTTCCGGGCAAAAGGCCCTGCGTTGGCCCTCTGGGCAGATGAGGTTCGGTCTGAGGAATACATGTTGGCCACGGCGAAGATCACATTTACCAGCTGATTTAGAGGAGCGACAATCTATGGATTTTTTAAGGGGCCGCCACATGATTTACATGATAGGATTTATGCCTCATGAACCCAGTTTTAAAGGGATTTCCCTCAGAGCGCACTAATTGTCGATGAGGGAATAGCACAAAAACATACAGAGCCTCAAGCAAGCAGCACACAGACACAAGTGAGCTTGTAGTTTGCGATTTAGGCGTGCCATCGAGGGAAAACGGTCCTTTGCCCAAGCGCGCGATCGATGGATCCATCTCCTCTTGGCTTCGACTTCCACCGGACCGCGGACGGGGGTGCTTGGTTTAGATGCCGCTTCAGAGTTGCACCAGGGGAGCGGGGCCATGGGCGGGTCACTCTGGATGCTGGCTCTGGCCATGAAATTCTGGCGGAACCTCCCTCAAAGCGGTTGGTGGACATAAATCATCCCACCAGACTTTGATGCCCACCTGTCCGGGTCCCAAGAAACAAACGCACACCCAGATACCCACACTAGTCACGTTGCTCGGCTGCAATGGCTTCGTTGCCGTGGCTCCTTCTTTCTCAGCATAGAGATGATCCTGGTGCTTCTGTCCCAGCCAGATTCATCAGGCGCCCCTCATGACAAAGCGACTTCCCAGCCAACGGGCCCAGAAGTAGCTATCACAGAAAGTGTAACTTCCCACAACTGCGGAGTACCTGTTCAAGGGTGCATCCCTTTTTTTCCCGTGGGCGACATGGAGCCACATAGACTGCCGTGGCATGGCGTGACATTCCCGCAGCTTGCTCAAGAGGATGGAAAGGACCGAAACCTCATGGCCGCTGGTCTGCACAGCGTTGTCACTGCGGGGCGAGAGGAGTTGAACATGTGGGGGAACCGGAATGCTTGCCATGCTTGCTGTTTCTTTTGAGGGTAGCCATGTTTTGTGGGTTTGCATGTTAGGTGGTCCCCCCAAGAAGAACACACCCATTTGTGAGCGAGCTGTCAGACCTTTTCAACGGAAGTAGACTGGATCTGGTTAGGTTGTTTGATTGTCGCTTGAGATCCTCCTAGCCAGTCCAAACGTATCACCATTGCTGGAGCCGTTTCGGGGCCCATTGAAATATCACTACCTTCTGGCATTAAGAAGCGACATTCCAGGAAGCAAACAGAAGCCACAAGCCTGGTAATTTTCGCGAAACACGCAACACAGATGTCGTGTTTCTCGGGAAACGGATGGCTTTTGGTGTCTGAAACCATCGTGGGGACAGCCCCTTGGCGCACGGCCCTAGGTCCTGGCTCAAGGGAAGCGAGTTGCGGTTTCCCACGGATGAGGGCTGCGTGATCGTGCGCGAGGCGATGCGAATCGGCGAGTCGGTTCGGCGATCATTCCTTCGGGATCCGTTTTCGGTGCGTTTCTTTTTTTCCCTTTCTTTTTTTCCGGTTTTCGGCTTCGAGGGATCCGGTTTGGGGCCCCTTTCGGTTTTCGGCAGAGAGGCGGGGTGTTCTTTTTTTTTTCTCCAGGGAATTCGATCAGTCGGTCCATGAGAGTCTGATTTGTAGATATCGACTTTTGGAAACGACAATGATCAACTACGAACTACAGTAAGTTGAATAAACAGTTTAGATAAACAGATTGGTTTCCTCTAGGTGGGGGCGAGTTGAAAGGGGAAGTACACGCAGCAGGCCCTACGAAGCATGCCAGATTTGGGACTTCCCGAATGAGGCACATTCAACGGCCTAGAGGAAGGTGAGTCAGGGCTAATCCAAAGCCGCCTTTTTTGAGTTCTTTGCATTTCACCATTTGAAGGCCATTGGAAGGTCACGCCATTTTCAAAGGTAATGGTTCTGAGCATGTGGCTGCGGGTCAAAAATAGGGTAACCCCAAAATGGCACCCTGGTATATGGGTTGCCAATGACTAAAACCTGTGGTCCGATTCCTGGTGGTTTAATTTTGTTTGAAAATACCCAGGACCCTGGCTCAAGTGATCTTATCGAAGGTCTGCTCAATCTCCCGGAGAAAGGTTGGGCCTGGGAGCTTGCTTGCTCGCTACCAGGCCAGGGAGGAGATTTCGTTCTAAAGCAGCGGACAGGAGTTGGTTTGTCTTTTCTCAGTTGTTCAGTGGCACCAATTCGTTTCCCCTTTTTCTTGGTGGCTGCCTCGCCAAAAATGGTCTTCCCCAAAGAAGGGTTCGAATTGGTTGTCTTTTGCAGGGGTCATTATTTTGACGGTTTCTGGGGGTTATCAAAGTCAGACAATGGTTGGTTGTTTCCCTTTAACCCACCACTTAGGGGGTGACTTTGACCATGGTAAAATAATGAGGCCAGTTTTGGACAGGTCCATTGGCCAAAGGGGTTTCTTTCCTCCTTTTGGCGATAGGGCTCCCCACTATCCCAGGGGTGTACTGGGCTAAGCCACCTTTCCACCCTTTTTGCCACGTGGGTCGGTCTGTTTTGAGGTTGCCTGTTTTTGGGTGGTTTTATAGGACACCCATGTGGCATCCCATTTTGGGGTAGGTGCACCACCAGTGGTTGGATTGGGATGTTCACTGGGGGTACGATTTGGATTTTGACCCATGGCCATGTAAGGGCTTACTGCAGTTGCTTGCTGCTAGATGGCCAGTAGGATGCTGAGCCTGTTTAGAAACCATTCGATCCCTGCAAAGCCTTGTGCAACTAGGGCAAACACTTGGCCAACTCCCAGACCATCTAAGACCAACACACACACACACCCTCCCCCTCTACTCCAACTACCCACCTTTTTTCAGGGATTTGGACAAATTGGCTTTCCATGATCAACCCCGCCCTGAGTCAGGGGTTCTGATGATCCTTTAACAATAAGTGGGCACGTCCACACGGAACCTATGAGAGGGTGCTCTCACGTGGGCAGGAGCCCGGGCGCCGCGGGCCTGGCGCGCGCTGCGTGTCCTCAGGAGGGGGAGTTGGCGTGTTTTTCATTTTCGGCTTCGAGCCTGCGACCATTCATGTCCAACCTGGTAAGAAGATTGGTAAGAAGATTGGATAGAACTTGTGGTGTGAAGGGGATTAACCCCCAGTTACCCCAGTGAAGAAACCATGGTTGCAAGCTGCTTACTGAGTTGGTCGAACACCCCAGTACCCATAGCTGGCCTTTTTTGAGTAAGTTTGGTTAGAATTAGAGGGGTTGCACTGGTTTAGATTGGTTTTATCCAGTTGCCAGGGACACCTGTCGTTTTTTTGTTTAATCAAAAGGTCACCTATGCTGGTACCTCTTCTGCTTTGCGCGGGGTTGTGAGCAATCGTCAAACGGCCAACGACACTTTTTGTTCCTTCGCGCGCTCGTTTTGGAATGCGGTTGATTCACTTTCGAGCAAAGGGGAACGCTCAAAACTGTCCGTGGTTGTTCGCGATCTACTCGGGGTTTTGTGGTCTTGATGTGGCTGGCTCACTTGAAATATCTGGAGAATCCGCCATCACAACTGGGCTCTCCTCCAAAACGATGTATTATTTTAGATCGCCAAGTGTGTGTGTGTGTGTGTGTGTGTGTGTGTGTGTGTGTGTGTGTGTGTGTGCGTGTGTGTGTGTGTGTGTGTGCGTGTGTGTGCGGAGTGGCAGAAAACCCTGCCACCAAAACCTTTTTCCGTTGCAGCAGGGGGCAGGAGCACCATGGCAAGTCTCCTGCCAACGAAGACACTTGCCATCGGTGGTGATACTGGGACTGATCATCCCAGCGTACCTGCATGTGTAAAGTGATGTTGCTGAATGTCCTTTTGGCCCCCTTGGTTGCGGCGCTGTTTGTGCTTCTTGTTCTTTCTGGTAACGTTTCGCCTCTAGAGGGAAACCGAGTGCTTCGCGAGTCGAAACTTATCCTACTCGAGACTTGTCAGTTGTACTCGAGACTCATCAGTTGTACTCGAAAGATTAGCACTCTCCATCTGGAGTTCAAGTGTGTACACCCCATTCGTGGGGAATCCTCGGGTGTACCCATTGTGTGACCCCGGGCCGGCTCTGTCGGAAAATTTGACCTCAACGTGCTTATCATAGAACAGCGGAATTTCACATTTAACCAGGAACGAGGTTTCACTAAAGGGAAGAAAGCCGTCAGATCATAGCGACGTCTCACTCGGTCTACCGTTGGCTGCTGGCTTGAACTTGCATGGACTTGCATTTATCGGACTTGTTCCTCTCAAGAGTGTTGAGTTGCGGTGTTGCATCTGTTGTGCCATCATGTCTCGACGTGAAGATCGAGATAGATCTAGGACTCGGCGCAGACGTGATCGGAGTCCTTCCCCTCAAGCTCGCAAAGCACGCCGACGTGAACACAATGACAGCCAGGTCTCGGAGAACATGGATTGGAACAACCTGGTTTCATGGCAACACAATTCCGGCTACAACGCTGCCAACAACTTTCCGATGATACCTACCAACTTTCATTCGACTCACAATCCCACACAACAATTCCAACACCCAGCGATCAACTACATGATGCCGATCCCTCCAGACCCCACGCCAACCAAGTTCATGCCACCCGTGATGCCACCACCGGTCACTACTTCCCAACCTACACCGCCACCTGGACCTCCTGCAGCTCTACCGGTTCGTCCTCAGAAAGCCTGGCTTACACCCTCGCCTGACTGGTCACCTGGAGATGGCATGTTTGATGTCAATCAGCTCTACAACTTCAGCCTGCCCATGACTGTTGCCAACACTCCGCATGGCAACCTTCGCGACATGTCAGGCATGGATATTAGGGACGTACGCCTGGTTCAGGTTATCCACGGGGGCCTCACCAACTGGCTACTCAGGCCGTTTGCTCACGGCAGATTCGTGACGTGGGAAGGCTTTCGCACTCGCACCGAGGCCTTACTTTGGAGTACCTGTTCCAAACTACTACGAAGATCACAGTCACTCAACCTGCTCACCCTGGAAAAGGACCTTGCCAACACGCTGGGTCTCAACATCGATGACTTCAATCAGCGCATCAAGGTCCACGACCATTTGGCCAGCTTGGTACTTCAATTTCTTCAGCAACATCACACCTCTCTCGCACCTGCCACCCAGACAGATGACATGGTCAAAAAGTACAATGATCTAAATCGTGCGCACGAACTTCTCCAAGCTCAGTATTCCGCATCGCTTCGCGCTTCGACCTCTCCCACGATGACAAACCAGAAGGATGATGCAGAGTTGGTTACACCGCCACCGGTCAACCACACACCATCCTCGTCACCTGCCAGCTCCCTTCCTACAGCCAGCGCAGCGGTTGGCAAGTCGTTTGATAGCGCGGTGCAACCTCGGATCATTCAGTCTCTTCACGGAGTGTCGTCACCGCCGTCCAAACCGGCGGCGTCACAATTGCTCACCATGCACAGCACGCCGGATGAAGTTGTCAAGTACTACACATGGACCAGTGACCAACCTCGCCTTTATCTCAAGCAATCACCCACAACCACCACTTTGGCATCGCTGGTTAAGTGGGCCAATCACCCGTCCCGGCTCAACGGCAACAAGTCATTAGATTCTATGGCGACGCAGCTCCTTCAGGCGCGGCAACGCATGCCGAAAGGCGACGCACCCACTCTCGGGGCGATGGCGGCTTCGTGGGGACTAGAGCCCGGCTATCTTACCAAACTCACTGAGAAGGCATTGAGTCACCTCATCGTGACCGCTCGCCTACTCTGTGGATGAGAAGGCATCATGATGACCTTCGTTCTCTTATGAGCCCGGAGCGGCAACAATGTCACGGATGAGTCCAGGTGAAAACTCGTCCGTCAATTTTCTGCGTTGCACCAGTTTGATCTTGTACTTGCTCGTTCTTGCATTGCCTTTTGTGTGATTGTCTGTGATGCTTGTACTCATGTCGCCGCCTTGTGATAGATTTCATTGGTTGTATCTCACCATGTTGGATGAACTTCGCCGCTGCGGAATCTATGATGATGTTGCACAATGGCAGTCGCTGGACGACCTTCTACACTCGCACCGTCGATTCCAACTGAGGAGTACGAATCAATCACACAACTGCCGTGGCTGGGTCTCATCCTCGAAGTCTTAGTTGTGGTCCGGATAGCCCTTCAGATTCCGAATCACGCTATGTCACACTCTCAGCACACCGTGGCCAACAGGTATGAGCTTCACAGATGTCGGTGCACTGCCTATTTATTGATTAGTTTCTTACAACGTCTCATTTCACAAGATCACGGCTACTTCCCGCCGTTCTTTGAAGTCCTTCACTTCTACAAGACTTCTCTCTTGTGTGAAATCATGCACTCTACTTTTGCTGACACGCGACATCTACGCTCATTGCGGGCGCGATTTCCTGACCTCTATGACTTCATACACGATCCAGGTCATCATCAACAACCGTGCGTCTACATTCGACTTTCCCCATGGCACACACCCTACTATGTTGGGGCGACTGATCAGGATGTTCTACGTCGTGAACACTCACGCAGTCGCAAATTTCTACAACTACTTCGTGGACGGCATGCCTTCTTCGAACCAGCGCTTCACTACTGGAAGAGATCCAATACTTACTGGCTCTTCTGTGCTGTTCCGGTGGAAATCAAACTTCCTGTTTCCTCGGTGTGGGTTCAAGAAAGCAAATGGCAATACTTGCTACGCCCGCATTTGAATGCGCCCTGGGTACACAGAATCTTGCGCAAGGTGGGCTTCCGGGAACATCTCGTGGATTTTCGACGTCACTCGTTGTCGTCTCCCACTTCCCTCAGCTTGCACAAGCGCTTTCGACGACGACTACATCCGGATCTCCAACGGCAACTACGACCTGACATCCTGGATGACATTCAGGCCCATTACTCTATTCTCTATCAGCTGGGATCGAATACAGGAGCATCGTTCCAAGTCATGCGTGACCTGCTGTCGGCGGCTTTCCCTCCCACTCAGCTGTACTACTTATTGCGGCTCGCAGTCTTTGTCAACGAGCCCTTCCGCTCCAAGGCGCAGAAACTCCTCGCCCAGGTGTTGCGCAAACGACGGCTACAACCACCCACCACTTTGACACAGCTACTCTTACCGCCGCTGCATGTCCGGAATTGGAAAGCTCTACTTGGCACATGGCTACAACGCTGGATTGCTTCTCATCGGGATCTGTTCCCTTCTCTTTTCATTCCAAAGATCCGGGTGGTGGAAACTCGCAGCGCCACATTGGGCGACAAGATATACAACTACCGCACATGGCAGCGCAGATGGACTCCTGAAACATCCTTTCCGTGTCGCTGTTTGGACATCGATGATCACCATATACACCGTGCACATGGTCACGCTGTAATGGTGGATGAGTTTTCTCGCATCAATGCGGACATTGACACTGAAATCATGGCCGCCTCAATGAAGGATCAGTATTGCGGTGATGTCGACTTATTGCATCAACGTTTCACCACGCAACTTCGCAAACTTGCTCGCCGTTGGCATGTACATGGTTCCAGTCTCCTTTCAGATCTCCAGCCGGTTTTGACTCAGTTAATGGACACTCATCGAACTAACCTCCAAGATCGGGCTTATTGGTCATCGACATCGTTGCAGCGCACTGTGGCTTCTTTGTCTTCGTGGGTTGTTATCCCAGCGGATCATTTTCCCTCCCGCGCACATGTGATTTGTCCGTCCCTGTTTGCCATACTGATGCGGAAGACATTCTGCTCGGGGGATGTCTTCTCGCTTTGCCGTGAATCCGCAGCATCCTTTCGCTCTGAAGTGGTAACCACGGTACCTTCTCTCCTACGTCAACGATATGCATGGGGACTTCGACTTCAAGCACCGTTGCCCACAGCGCGCATCCTCCCAAAGCCGACCAAGGACTGGCAGAAAGCTCGACCCATCATTTCATTCTTTCGCACATGGGCAGCTCCCTTCCTCACGGTCTTCGGTGCACTCATATTTGAACTTACCAAAGCTGCCTTCCCCGACATTGCAGGTCAACTTCCAGTACAAGAACTTG